TCTTCTCTCCCGCTAGTGGAGAAGGGATTTTCACTTGTAGAAATCATGTGTCTCCAAACGTGATAGCCTCTCAGTGTCTGTATTGCAAACCAAATTGCCCCAAAGTAGAGAGAGAGAGAGAGAGTATGGGAGAAATTGTCTGCCACAGAGGCAGGGGGAGGGTTGGGAAGGGGGGTTACTGTCACTGTACTCCCGTTGTTCATCAATTTGCTCTAGCGGCCCAGTAACGTCTCCATTGTGACAATTGTTACTGTGTCTGGCATATCAAATACGTCATGGGTAGCATGCCAGGGTTTGCCGTGCGGGCGAGATACTCTCGGTAGCTTGCCGGGCTCTCCGAGAGGGGCGGAGGAATCGAACTCGGGTTGACCATGTTGGCCCCTTGCAAGGCAAATGCCCTACCTGCTGTGCTATCGTTCCAGTCCTGTAAAAATAACCTGCAATTTCTTTTGCCTTCAAATGATTGTTTTGAGAGGGCCAGAGAGATAGTAAGGCTGTTTGACAATGGGCACTGGTGGAGGGATGGGTGTTCGATCATCGCATGACTGAAACTCAAACATGAAGGCTTTGTAACTATATCTCACGGTGATTCAAGAAAAAAAAAAAGAAATCACGTGTCTCTTGGCCTTTCTTTGCTGTGCCTTTCTTTGCTGTGGGCAATGCCAGCTGAGCGGAGGGTTCGGGTCAGCACCCCAGAGCTGACCCAGCCCACTCCACCAGGTCAGCTCAGAAACCCTGGGTCTGGAGAGAGTGCGCAGTGGGCAGGACCTTGGATTCAACCCTGGCATCCCCTCAGCCCTGGAGGGCAGAGCCAGGAGTAAGCCCTGAGCACCGCCAGGCCAGGGTTGGCCCCAAAACAAAACAACACGGAAATCCTGGGAGACTGGAAAAGGGCCACGTCACAGGGCTGGTCCTGCGTCGCTCGGGAGGAGCGATGACTGTATCACATTCCAGTATTTTCTAGAACAAAGGCTCCCGTGCTGAGCCGCTCGGCCATTCTGGGCCGATCCTGGGCCGATCGTGTTTGAGATTCTGGGCTTGCACTAGCCGTGGGCTCCCGTCTTTAGTGCTGGTGTTTGAGCCCCCCCTGGTCTGTGCTCAGGGCTTCAAACTGCCGCTGAGCTTGGGGACCAACGCTGGGGGCGGGGGGACGGGGGAGCCTGTGTGGTGCTGCGTGCCAGGCCAGCGCCTTCACCCGGGCCTCCAGGCCCCTGTGCTCACACCGTATCTCTGTCACATCCCGGCTTCACTCCCTTGCGTCACTGGGCCTCTGCGGCCCGGCATGTCTTCACTTAGGAAGGGGTGTAAGGCTGGGGGAGCGAAACAGCCCGGGGTCACCCCTGCAGGCCTGGCCATGAGAGCTGTTATTTGCACTGGATATTTGGTGGTGGGGGGGGGTGGGAGGCGGTGATCCCTCCCAAGGGGGACTTAAGAGGCCTGGGGGCGGCTCTGATGTTGGGATCTGGCTGACGGGACCATCAGTTTCAGTGCTTGGGCCACCCATGGACCCTGGGTTGGGGAGACTCAGGGATCCCCAATCCCCAGCAGTGTTCAAGGACCTTCAGCCTATGCTCGGAAAAGCTCAAGAGGCCATGGGGTGTCAGGGATGGATCCCAGGTCAGAGGTGCACGCGTGCGCGCGCGCGCGCGCGCGCGCACACACACACACACACACACACACACACACACACACACACACCTACCTCTCTGACCGCTCCACATTCTTTCTTTGGAACTGAATGTTCCAGTCTATGCTCAGAAAAGCTCAAGAGGCCATGGGGTGTCACGGATGGACTCCAGGTCAGAGGTGCACGTGCACACACACACACACACACACACACACACACACACACCCCTACCTCTCTGACCGCTCCACATTCTTTCTTTGGAACTGGATGTTCCAGTCTATGCTCAGAAAAGCTCAAGAGGCCATGGGGTGTCACGGATAGACCCCAGGTCAGAGGTGCACGCACACACACACACACACACACACACACACACACACACACACACACCCCATACCTCTCTGACCGCTCCATTCTTTCTCTGAAAGTGGATGTTTTTAAAATAACTCTGGGAGTTCATGCAGTGCTGGGGTGGGGGGGGTTGTCACACCTGGTCTCAGCACGTGACTCCACTCCCCCTGCTCGCCGTGGCCGCGGGAGAGAGCAGACGCCGTGCGCATCAGCCTCGTCCTGCTCTCAGAGCCGCTGAACTCGGAGAATCATGGGGGAGGCCAGGGCGTGCGTGTCCCGGGTCCGAGCCCAGACGTGCCGCAGCACCGCCCACCTCAGACTGGCTGTGGCTCGCGTGGGCCCTGCAGGCACGGGACGCCGAGCGCGTGTGGAGCAGCAGCTGGTGGCTGGGATGGTTTGGACTGACGAGCCAGGGTCCAGCCCCAAGTAGCACCTCTGCCGGTTCCCTCGTGGAAACGCTGGCTGGGTGGCCAGAAATTGCTGGGAATGGCCTTTGGGGACCTTAAGTTGCTTGAAACGCACCCCTGCCACCCACCACCCATTAAAAAATAAAAACCCTAACCTAAACTTAAGACCCCATAAAGGGCCTTGCTGGAAAAACTCCCAGAGGACAGGAAGGCATGTGCACCCAGGACGCTCAGGCAGTTTTGGGTGTACACGGGCACCTGAAGGCTCCGGGCCCGCAGGACCAGCACAGCCCACCCCCACCTGGCACACGTGAGGCTGAGCGGAGCCCTGGCAGTGCAGTGGGGCTGAACCCGGGTTTCTCCACAGCAGGAGTGATGGGCGGGACTGTGGACAGGCCTTCCCCCGGCACAGGCAGTGTGGAGCAGAGCTCCTGCAGGGCTTGAAGGGGAGCAGGCGCTCCCAGAGAGGGTGGCCGCACCTCCCCCAGCTTGGAGGCCTCCTCCTCCGGGCTGGCAACCGGGGTTGCTCTGCTCTGTGTGAAAGGAAAGCAGGGGTGTGAGGGGTCTCGGCCACCTTGGGGGGTCGCACAGGGAGTGCTGACGAGGCGGAGCTTGTGGTGTGCTTGCAGAGTTGAGCAGCTGGCGGGGGTCCCGGGAGGGCAGCGTCCACGCACATCTGCCTTTCTCTCGAGCGGGACAGGACCCCTGGCGCCGAGCCAGAATGCTGGGGGTGGGGCAGCAGCCCGGCAGTGGGGGTGGGCAGGCCAGGGAAGCTGGACACGCCTGGCTGTTGGGTTGGGAGGCCTCCCAGGGGCTGTGGGCTGCCCTGGGACCCTTGGCTTCCCCTCAGCTCTCTAGGGGCCCGAGCTGGGGCTGGCAGGTGCCACACTGCTCTCGGCTTGGTGCTAAGGCAAAGGCCCTCAAGGAGCTTCCAGGCCGTGGCTTCTTCCGCCGGGCTGGCAACCGGGGTTGCTCTCCTCTGTGTGATAGTCCGAGATGCCGCGGGCCCCAGGCAGAGGCAGGTGGCCAGTGTGGTGTGCAGACGCTGCAGCTTCGGAAGCTGGGCCGCTGCTCTGGCCACGGGGGTCCAAAAGGACAGTGACTGGGGGCTGGCCTCGTCCGACCTGCTGGCAGTGCGGGGGAGGGGCGTGCAGGAACACGGGCCGTGCCTCAGGCCACAGCCGTGAACAGTGCCGAGTGGCCACATCCTGGCCTGCGGGGCTCCATGGGCGTGGACATGGGGAAGACTGGACACCTCCGGGCAGGGAGGAAGGCCGGGGTGTCCGGGCCCCGGGTCCGGCTGCCCCTATGCTGGGCCCTGTTCAGGCTCTCGCGCACACGGACAGCAGGAACAGGCCTTGGCGGGGCCAAACGGTGCCCAGTGGGTGTGTGGGCGGCTGGGCCAGCCTCTCCCAGGACGCGCATAGCAGGGCTCCGCAGCCTCTCGTGGGCCCACCTGCCTGGCGTCTGCCGGCTCCCGGCTGTGCTGCTCTTCTAGCTCAGTCTGCCCGGGTCCACTCGACCCCGATGGCCCAGCATGGCCACCGGGAAATCCCAAGGATGGAGCCCCTCAAGAGTTTTCATCACTGTTGGTTGGGGGGCCACACGCTGGTGTGTTGGGGCTCCAGGGACCACGTGTGGTGCCAGGGATTGAACCCGAGTCAGCCTGAACCCACTGGGCTTGGGGCCACGTGGGCCCCGCACAAACCCCCAGGTCTCCCTACAGCGAGCATCTGAGCCCAGCGGGAAACCCGCGCTGGGGCCACCATGGGGAGAAAGGCGCGGGCAGGAGAGCACAGTGGCTCACGCAGAGGGGCACACGTCAGGCTGGCGCTGGGGCCACGGTTCCCTCCCTCCTCCCCACCCACAAAGAAGCCAGACAAGGAAACCACCAAACATCCATCCTGGATGCTGTATTCTCGAGGCCAGATGGTGCCTGGGCCCACACCAGCCCTATGAGGTAGGTAAGTTCTGTGTCACGGTTAGAACCCATTTCACAGATGAAGAGGCGGCGGCTTGGCTGGGGCCTGCCAGGGTCCCAGGGTGCAGAGAGGCTCCACAACCCCCCCGACCCTCGCCCTCTCTCTCTCTCTTCACAGTCAAGTCGCTGGGCTGAAGCATCAAGCAACCAAGCAGCCTGGGGAAGAGGAGGTGAGGGCAGGGGTGAGGCCGACAGTGGCCTCCACTCGCTCACTGCCCCACCCAGTCCCTGCGGGGCTCTCTGGGGACTTGGGACCCCCGGGTGCTCCTGGAGGGGGTGGACCCCAGCACACAGGCTCCCGCACCCCCTTCCTCGGCTCTCCCCCGGGGGGCTCCATGTCACTTGGCTTTGCCTGAGCCAAAGGGGCGACTCCAGAGGCGAATCATCACGCGCAGTTCGGGGGTGCTGCACGGCTCATCGCCCAGGGGGTGGTACCGGTGCCCTTGGCTCTGACCCTGGGCAGATCTACGGGCGGGCGAGGACTGAGAAAAGCCACTGGGGAAAGTCCCGGAGCAGCATCCAAGAGGCTGCACGCTTGTTCTGAGGACAACGGGTGCTTCAGCCACCCCCGCCTCCTCGCTGCCCACCGAGTCCCTGCCAGAAGAGGGTGCCGGAGGCAGAGCCTGGGGGAGTGAGCACGGGGCGGGCAGGGGTGGGGGGTGGGGGCGGGTCACTGACTCTGTGGCCGAATGACAGGGGCCAACTCTGCTTTGGAGAGTGGCCTCCACAGCGGACACTGAGCTCTGCGTGAGAGCACTGCAGAAGGAGCCAGCTCCCGCGTAAGAAACTTCTTTCCCCTGTGTGTGTGGGGGGAGGGCTGGGGGCCACACCCGGCAGAGCTCAGGCCTTGTTCCTGGCTCTGGGGTCACTCCCGATGGGGCGCAGGGGACGCTATGAGGAGCTGGGGATCAAAGCCAGCTCGGCTGTGGACAATACAAGCTCCTTGCCCCGTACTATCTGCCTGGCCCAGAAAGAACTTTCCAGCAGCCAGTGGCTGGCCTGGAAAACAACCTGCTTCTGGCGGGCAGAGGCGAGTGCAGCGGGCGGAGGCCGGGGCTGGGCGGGGCGGGGCGGGGAAGGCCACGTGAGACTGTCCGACGGTGTCTACCCTGAGAGTTTCGAATCTACTGGTGGGAAACCACCACGGTCAAGGGCACAGAATGACCTGAGGCGGGTCCCCAGGGTCATCCGCTACGCTGGGCCTCGCTGACCGAGTTTTCGCAGGGATGGGGGCTGCTTCCAGAGCCAGGAGCCCCTCAAACGGCAACCCTCTGTCTGAGCCCTGGGCCTGACTCCAAGCTCCTCCTGGCCGGGAGGAAAGTGCACTTCACAGCCGGGCCCTGGGCAGGGCCGTCTGGGAGACCTGGGAGAAGCTTCCTGCCCTCACCCCAACCCTCTCCTGCAGGGGGCCCGGGGGACAGGGACGAGCCCCCTGGAGGAATCCCTGCCAATATTCCAGCCCAGCCGCCTCCACCCCGACTTGTCCCAGCTCCATCCCCAGCTCGAAGGGGCCAGAGCAAAGGCGACACTGGTCAGAGGCAGGTCGGGTCCCATCTGGTTGTGCAGGTGCCAGTGGCGGCGGCGGCCGTGAGCCCCTCTGCGGCGCCCCCTACCGGTACCGGATCAAGCGGATGATCTTATTGTTCATGAAGTCCAGGGCGTGCGGGTAGGACGAGTCGAGGCAGAAGCCGTCGCTCAGCGCGATCTTCAGCACCTCCTCCATGAATACCTGGAAGCTGTTGATCTGCTTGTTGGCCGGCACCACCCAGAGCCGCTTGAGGTTCTGCTTGGTGTACTCCTCCTCGGGGAGCCCCTCCACGTGGGCCACCCAGTCCAGCGTCAGGTGGTTGGGGTCGTGCAGCTGGCTGGCGATGGACGAGAGGTTGCCGTTGCAGCAGTAGAAGAGCCGGGAGCCCAGGAGCTTGAGGAAGAGGCAGGAGGTGCTGAAGATGTTGGCGTTGAAGACCTCCATGCTGGAGGAGGACAGGCTGTAGATCTGCGGGGCCTCGCGCACCGTGAAGTGCACCGTCTGCGCCCGCTGCGTCAGCATGATGTTGAGCATGGCGTTCTTCTCCGCCTTGGACAGCTCCACCTCCTTCTCCTGCAGGGCGGCGATCAGGGGCTGCACCTGGTAGAAGTCGGCCTCGCGCCGCAGCAGCCCCATCTCCTGGAAGTCCTCGGGCAGGTCCAGGTGCGAGGTGCGCAGGAAGTTGAGGATGTGGCGGAAGACCTTGCCATCCCGGTCGATGAAGCAGTGGCCCTGGCTGTCGCGCTTGGTGGGCATCTTCCCGCTGAACATGGCACCCAGCATGGAGTCGGGGAAGCTGGTGAGGGTGGCCAGGGACGTGGTGTACAGCTTCCCCCCGACGTTCAGCGTGATGGGGTCGGACATGGCAGGGGGCTGGCGGGCCCGGCAGGAGCCCTAGAGACGGGGGAGGGGGGAGGGAGAGACCACCGTTACCTGGCTGCATCTGCTGCCTGGCCCAGGACTCCGAAGCCTCGAGGTCCCGGTAGGCGCAACCGGCCGCCTTCTCGGTGTGTCCGGGCGTGGTGGAAAGGACACGGGCGCACTCTGGGGTCCCTTTCATAAGGACGCTCAGGCTCGTGCCCAGGCACCCTGTACGGTGTCTCTGGCCTCCCGATTCCACTCTGATGGCAGTAACAGGTGACGGCCTCTGTTCTGTCCGTGAAAGCTGCCAAGCAACTGCCCTCCTGGACCCGGCCCTGGGATGAGCCCCAGGGGGGTGGTGCCCTGGCCAGTCCTGGATACACGCACAGTGACCTGACCCCTTCTCCCCACCCCCCACCCCGGCACACAGGCTGCCACGCTTCAGCCCCTGTGCCTCATCAGAGCCCCGCGGTGCCAGGCTCACATCCAGGACGGCCATGTCCGGTGGTGGCCAAGGGCCACGGGGAGTACCGAGGACATGGGGGGGCACCACTGTCCACAGGGGACACTGAGGGCCACAGGGGACACTGAGGGTTGGCCCCATCACAGTGTCCCTCTGAAGGCCCCCACCCCATGAGGGAATGTGCTGCTGGGAGCCTGACCCTCCCCCCCCCCCCCGGCTGCATGAATGGGGGCCAAGTGCAGAAACGCGACCTCCGGACCTCCACCCCACTTCACACCACCTGTGAAAAATGACCTCCAGAGCGTCCTAAGCCCTACCCCCCAGGGCCTGCTGGGGCAGAGCTGAGGCCACTGGAGAGACAGCCTGGTCCCCATCAGGAGCTAGGTCCTGAGCACTGCCAGATGTGGCCCCCCCCAAAAAAACAAGAATTGTCTTCTGAAATGCCCACCCCACTGAGTCATGGAACACCGCTCAGGACCTGACTGACAGTTTGAGGGGCCAAGGCTCCCACTATCTGCGGTTCCAGGGTCTGGAGTGATAGTACAGCAGGTACGGTGCTTGCCTTGCATGCGGCCAACCTGGGTTCAATCCCCGGCACCCCACAGGGTCCCCCTGAGCACCACCACGAGTGATTCCTGAGCCCAGAGCACCACTGCCTGTGGCCCCAAAACAAAACCAAAATGTGTGTTTCCAAGTTTGGACCCCGGTTCCCCAGGCACCAAGGGCGACAGCCGGTGGTGACCCCATGGAGAGGAAGGGAAACCTGTGAGGCCCTTCAGGAGAGGACAACCCCTTCAGGGGACAGAGCTCCCGTCAGGCCCCGAGCACACTCACAGGAGCTCACTCGGGCTCTGACGGCGGAGGGGAGCATGCAGGGCTGGCCCGGTGTCTGCCTCAGTCTCCTCCCTACCAGGGCCGGCCAGAGTGCCCCCCTTCTGCTGTCCGCTGGTGGCAGAGGAGGGGATGCAGAAATTCCTTCCTGGTATCTTCCCAAAAAGGGAGGTTTCTCACCCGCTCAGGAAGTGCAGAGAGAAACCCTGGAGACACTCTCCGGAACTCTCCCGGATGGAAACCTATGCACCTCCACTGCGACTGCAGACAACATGGGCTGGCATCTGGTTTGATCCCCCCGCACCAAGCCAGAATTGGGCCCTGAATACCCCCAAACCTGGGGTTCCAGCCACATGGGGGGGCCGGGGGGGTCACAGACACGGAAGGGACACAGCGCCAAGAAGGGATGCTCCGGGGTGAAGAGCAGCTCAGAGCCTGCAGCACCCTGCGGGGACCCACCCACTGCTCCCCCCGCCCTCTGCTCAGCAGAGGTCACTCCAGCCCCATTTACCTAGTTCTGCTCTCTAGGGAGCCCACACACTTGCGTGACCTCTCCTGGGGGAGAAGGGTTTCCCAGACCCGGGATACACGTGAGCCGCACAGCAGGACATGGCCTGGAAAGGGAGCCTGGAGGGCAGAGAGCATGAGAACCAGACCCCTCATCTGGCTCAGGTGACAACCGCCACCACCTCACCTTGCAGGGGAGTCCCTGCATCCACCTGGCTCACCCCAGACACAAGCACCCCACCACAAATGATCCATTGCTTCTTGTGGGGGGGAGGGTCACACAACCCGGCTTACTCCCAGCTCTGTGCTCAGGGATCACTCCTGGCGGGGCTCAGGGGAGCCTATGGGTGCTGGGGGGTGGCCTTGGGGCCAGCTGTGCTCTCCCTGCTGCCCCATCTCTGCAACACTCCACTTGAACCCACGCTCACCGGCGGCCAGCCAGGATCTGGAGGAAGGCTTCCACACCCGTGTCCCGCTTGCAGTCTCCGAGAGCCAGGGCAGCTGGCTGCCTGGCAGGCAGAGTGGGTGAGCAAGCGGGTCCCATCACCCGGAGAAAGGCAGGCAGGACTTGGAAACTCCTTCCTGGGTGGGGTGTGTGTGTGTGTGTGGGGGGGGGGGTGGTTGCCAGGCGAGCTCAGGAGGCGGCGGAGGACCCCTCTGCGGAGACCTGCTCAACCTGGCCAGCCGGCTGGGTTGGGGACACTCTCAGGGCCTGACCTGGGGCGGGGTGGGGGGTGCGCTGGGCAGGCAGGGCAGCACCCCCCCCCCCCCGACCCCGAGCTCGAGCCCGAACGTGCATTCCTTCCCTGGCACCGGGACCCCCTTTCCGGCAGTGCCAGGGGGCGGGGGCCACGTCGCCCGCCCGGGGGGGTCCCGAGCGGTCCCTTCCCCACCCGCCGCGGACACAGGACACAGCAGGTGCTCGGGGAGAGCCGCGGGCGCTGCTCAAGCGCGGGGTCACGTGGGCGCGGGCGGCGGCTGCGGACGGTCACGCGCCAGCCCCAGCGGCCCGGGCCCGGCGCTGGGGGGGCGGCGCCCCAGGAAGGGTGGGGGAGGGGGCGTCAGGCCCAAGACGGGCAGCAGCAGCACGCCGGCAAAGGGCGATGCCCGGGCCCCGCTCCCGCGCAGCCTCCCCTGCTGCAGACCCGGGGCCCAGCACCTGCCGCCGCGTCCCCCGCCGGCCTCGGCCCGCGCCCCCCGCCCCCCGCCCCCCGCCCCGCCAGCACAGAGGCGAAGGGCGAGGCCGGCAGGCTGAGCGGGCTCCCCGGCTGCCCCCCGGCCGCGCCGCACCCACCTCCGGCCCTCGCTCGCTGCTCTGCAGCCTCCCGCCGCGGGCGGCCAGCGCGGCTCTGCCCAGGGGGCGGGGGCGGGGCCCGGAGCCCAGCCCGGGGGCGGGGCGGCCGCGGCCCGCGCGCGGCACTCTGGGACTTGTAGTCCTCCCGGGCCGCTCTCCCCGGCTCCGCGCGCCCGCCGTGAACTACATCTCCCAGGAGGCACTTGGCGGAGCAGTGCGGGGGGGCCCCGCCCCGCCCCCCATCCCCCCCCCCCCGCCGGCGCTCGGGCCAGCTGCCCTTAAAGGGGCCGCCGCGGAGTGGCCGGCCGGCCGTGCGCGGGGTGGACCGCGCTCCGACTCCGCCCTGTTTCCCCGCACTCCGTCCCACCCCAGCCTCCATCCCCGCGTCCTCCCGCGGCCGGGCGGCGGCTGCGCGGCGGGCTGGACACGGGGCTGGACTTTTCCACCGCGCAGCATCCCTGACGTCGGGGACCCGGCGGAGGGCGGCCGCGATCGGGGTATTCGCGGAGGACTCGCCCTCCCGAGCTAGCCTCGGCGGGGGTCTGCACCAGCTGCACCGCTCCCCAGCAAGGGCTCTCTGGGGGTCCGCAGGTAAGCGGCGGGGGGTCGCGGGCGTGGGGGGCGTGTGCGCGCCGCGCCTACAGAGCCGGGACCGCGCGCCAGGGTCTCGCCCCCGGCTCCGATCCGGGAGGCGGAGGGCTGGGTGCATCAGGGGGCCTCGTTGTGTGACCTTGGGTGGGTGGCTGACCCCCTCTGGGCCTCGCTGTGTGACCTTGGATGAGTGGCTGACCCTCTCTGGGCCGCAGCCTCCTCCAGCGGTTGTGTAAGGAGGAGGTCCCACCTCACCCCACCCCTCCCCGCCCTTGGGCGAGCACAACGCCCCAGGGGTCCTGAAAGTCCGCCCCAGCCTGGGCTGCCCGCAGCTGCCCTGGTACCACCAGAGGAAGGGGTGGGGCTAGTTGTGGCCCAGACAGGGGTGGAGTCGCGCCAGGAGGCTGCCACCGCTCGCGGTGCTGCTGCTGCTGCTAGAACATCCTTGCGCAGACGCCCCCTCCCCTCCCACCCCCCCACCAGGAGCGCCTGGGCAAACCCGAGACCCCTCATGGTCTCCTTCCCCCGCGGTGGTCTTGGAAAGGGCCGGGGGGGGGGGGGGGGGGGCTCCAGCCTCATCCCTGCTGCTCCTCAGTGGGAGAGCACTTTTCTTTCATTCTGCCTGTTTGGGGGTCAGACCCGCAGGCAGGCCAGCGGCTGCAAGCTGAGACAGAGAGATGGGCACTGCAGGCTGAGTCCTGGGGGCCACACCTGCAGGGGACTCAGGTGTCAGGAGGAGGAAGGATGTTAGAGAGCAGCTCTGGGTACCTGGAGATCACCCGCCCCTCCCCCCGCCCCCCCTTCCAGCCTTTTCTCTGCCTGGGGGTCCCCACCGCTTTGGACCTGTCCCGGTGAGAACGTGTTGCTCCTTGTAGCAGTGCTTGTTCAAGTCTTTTTGAGAATGGCCACGGCCTCGGTGCCCTTCTCCTGGCTCGTGACCTCTCTGGAGTCTTCCTTTCCTGATGCTGAGACCCTCAGGGACAGGGGCATGCAGGGCTGAGCTGGGCAGAGGGGTCAGTGCAGGGGCTGCCGCCTGTTCCGCTGGCCCGGTGCTGGGCTGGCCATAGGGCTCTGCCGTGGCCCCGCACCTCTTTCCTGTCCAGGCAGCTGTGGACTGGGGGGAGGGGGTGAGCCGGAGGGGAGCATGGGGCCCTGGGGAGGCTGGGCCTCTCGCGTCATGGATTGCCAGAGACTGGAAGTGGGGGGATATGCAACTGTGCATTGAGGGGGTCTGCCCGTTTGCCCTTCGCCTGGAGAGGGCACCACGCCCAGGGGCCTCTAGGCTCATCGCCGCCGTAGGGCCCGGCTGTGTCTGCCGCTGGGGTGGGGTTCACCGAGCACGGCAGCTGGGCTTTGCTGGAGGTGGGGGGAGGCGAGAGACCAGGAGGGAGGAAGCAGCCTGGGCAGGGGTGGGGTGTTGGTCCCCTCTCAGCACTGGGTGATGTCGGGTCAGAGGTGAACCAGCGGGACCGAGGACTGTCCCTCCAAAGCGGCAGCAGGGAGGGTCCCTAAGGGGGACACAAAGAGCCCAGGAGGTTCATGATTCTTACTGTACTGTGTGACTGTCTGGGTGTGGCTGTCATGCAGGACCCTGCAGAGAAGACTCCGGGCGGCAGTAGGGGCTGACGGGCAGACGGGTGCACGCTGGTGTCCTTTGGGGGTGAGGTGGCTCAGGGGGGTGAGAGGGCATGAGTTCTGCAGGTGGGGGTAGTCTGAAGCCTGAACTCTCTTCTCAGTGCTCGAGAGGGGGCCGGGACAGGGAGAAGCAGGCACTTCCCGGGCTGGCTCGAGGCAGCTTCGGGAAGGCAGGGTCCGAGTGAGTGCTGGGCTAAGGGGGAGGGGATGGTATGAGCTCAGACAGGGACCCCTTCCCTCCAGGGCTCTGTGTGTCTCGGTGACACCTGTCCCAGGAACACACTCGGGACTGCCCTAATGCACAGCACTCTGTTCACTTATTCATTCATTCCCATGTGCATGTGTCAGAGCCATGTTGGGCAGAGCTGGGGATCAGAGCTGGGCCTCCAGCCATCTCCCTGTCCCTCATTAATTTTTCAAAATCAAAATATTGATGCGCCCTCAGTGGATAATAGTGTGGGAGCTTCCAGTGTAGAGGTTAAGAGTTGCACCGCCATTCCCGTTCTCACCGTCAGCCACCTTTCTTGTTCACGTTCTGAGGCTACATCGGGGATGCTCAGGGCTTGCTCCTGGCGCTGTGCTCAGGCATCACTCCTGGCGGTGCCCGGGGGGCTTTCTTGGGACCCTGAGAAGAAAGCCTGTACTTTCCCAGGGAACCACATTCCCAGCCCCTCTCCTCGCGTCTCCAAGTAGAGGTCTTTTTTTCCCCTTTGGATTTGGGGACACACTTGGAAGACCTCAGGGGCTGCTGCCCGAATGGTGCTGGGGGGTGTGAGGTGCTCCCAGTTGTGTGGAGGGGACCGCCTGGTGCTGGGCGTGGACCCCAGGCTGCTGGATGCCTGCCTAGAATGTCCAACAGAGCCTAGAGGGGTGTCCCCTCCCCAGGGAATAAGGCAGGTTCTATTCCCCCCGCGAGACACCCCTTTCCAAGGTCCCATCTCTTGTGCGGGACTTGGTCCTTTTGTTGTTGCTGTTGTTTAATTTTTTGTTTGTTTGGCTTGTTTGGCTTGGGGCCACACCCAGCCATGCTCAGGGCTTACTCCTGGCTCTGCAGGCAGGAATCACTCCGGGCCGGGGCTCCGGGTCCACAGGGGATGTCGGGATCAATCCTGGATGAGCGCTTACAAGGCAAATGCTCTCCCTCTGTGGCCCAGTGGGACCCTGTCCTGCTCCTTCATCCTGGCCCAGAGGGTCAAGCCCCTCAGTCCCTTTCTAAGACAGTGGGTTTGTCTTAGAAAGGACCACGGTGATAATCTTCAGATGGGGGGATGGGGACCAGCAGGGCGGGGCTGCTGCTGGCTCCGGAGGTCCAGAGCCCGTTTGGCCCAGCTGCACGGGGGCTGCCACTGGCCACTCCTTCATTGCCATGTGCACTAGCCCGGGCAGCTGTGTCCCTGTCTAACAGAGGGGGCAGGTGCTGGGTTCGCTCAAGGTCTCCCTGAAGCGAAGAGCTCTCTGTTTGTGCCTTGCTGGCTGCCTTCTGCAGCCCCAGGATCCCGCCCACCTGCCCCGCCCTCCCCCTGCACACAGCCATTGATCAAGCCACCGCCTGGGCTGCCGGCTGACTGACGCACTGTGGTCGGAAAGCTGAGGACTGGGCCACGGAGGAGGAGAGGGGCTGCAGGAAGACCCATGTCTCGGGCTCCTCACGATCTGCTAGACGCCGGCTCGGGGCGCTGTCCATAAGTCTGACCCTGCCACTGGTTTCATTCTTAGATTTTTGTTTTCACGGCTTTTAGCTACACCCTGGCTAAAATGCTCGGGGCTTACTCCTGGCTTGGCGCTCAGGGGTCACTCCTGGCATGTGGGGTGTTGGGTAAGGGGAGTGAGCGCCTTACCCCTGTACGATCTCTCAGCCCTGGGATGGAAGTTCCTAAGGTGAAGGACGTTCGCGTCTAAAGCCCTCACTAAGTGCCTTCCGCTTGCTTCCAGAGAAGCAGTGTGCATTTATGCATTCCGGGAGTGGGGAAACAGTCAGTTCGCTGTAAGGAAACCGTAGCTGTCACTCAGCGTCCAGGTGACTGAGGCAGCCAGGCTGGTGTTGGGACCTGGGTCCCCACTGCACGCCCACGACCCAGTGCAGGCCCCCCCTCGGGAGGTTGCAGGTGGGGATCCAACCCACCCGCCGGAGAGCAAGACACTGAAATATTCCTGGGCTTCCACTTCATATGAAAGCTTCATTGACACAACATTGCAGTCCACTGAGTGTCCACATGATAGTATTGTATCCTCCGAATAATGTGTAGATCCTAATTAAAAAAATCCTTTATTGCCAAAAAGCGAAGGCAATCTCTGAGTCTTCGGCGATTTGTGCTTTGGCTCCGTGCTGTCCGGGGTGGGTGGCAGCTGCAGGGAATCGAGCCTCCCTGGCATGTTCTTGAAATATGACGGTGACATTTGCAGCGGAGTTCATCTGCCCTCCGGGAAAGGTTTCTCTGGTGCCCGATGCCCCGTGACAGCGTTTGACCCAGGGCAGAATCTCTTTCAAAGCCGGGGTCAGCCCTCTGGAATGAAGAGGGCAGCTCCCTCAGCTCCGTTGCCGCCAGATGGGAACAGTTTTGTGGCCACCTCTGCGTCACACACAGCATGGTCATCACCAGGAGATTCTGTCTCATGAAAACACTTTCTCTGCTCCCCCGGGAGAACCGGCTCGTCCATCCCGGCTCACGTGCTGTCAGAGGAAGCCGGTCCCCTTGCTCCCAGCCACTTTGGATTCTGCCTCTCTGCTGTTCCCACCTCCACGGCGTCGAGTTCCCGAACAGCTGCACTCTGCCACACACGAGATCCCAGGCCACCAAGCATGAGAAAGTGCGAGAGACTGGGGGCACCAGAGGAGCACGTGGCATGGGGGAGGTGACACTGAGAGCTTCCCTTCCATGTGAGGGAGGATCCAAGCAGGACGAGCTGTGCTCTCCAGCTCTGCCGCACTCACTGGGTGCTGCCTGGCAAAGCCAGTCCCGGGCACTGCCCCGCACAGCTCACGGCCATGTGTGAGAGGCAGCGACTTCCATAACTAGGTCATTGCACTCAGCCATGCGGTCACGGAGCTGTGGGCATGGCCGAGGAGGGCCATGGGCTGAGAAGGGACAGTCTCCATAGGGCCTGGTACACAGTGGGAGTCCCTTCGTATCTGTGGGTCAGGGGCCACAGATATATTCTGGACCGCTTCAGGGGGAATTTCTCGCCGATCCTCATACCAGCAGCAGGTCTACAGATGCGTTTTCTGGTTGAGCCAGTTTGGGGGTAGCTACTGTTGTGCTTATAGTGTTCTGCCTAGTGGGGCAGTACTGAGAACCCAGTGTTGACCCTTCCTCCTCGCAGCTGAGAGCCAGCATGCACTCAGATGTCAGAGTGGGTGAGCTTGCCCCGAAGACTTCCAGGAAACTACCCCAGCACAGGAGCAGGGCAGAGAGAAAGGCGGGCGTCACTCTCCCCGGAACCAGGCAGCAGTGGCTCAGCGCTGTCTACTGAATCTGTTCGTTCAGCACATGCCTCCCGGGCGTCAGGGGCTGTGCCAGGTGCTGGGCAGACTGCAGAGAACAAAGGTGGCATGGTTTCTGCAGAGCTCCCTGAAGGAGGCTGGCTCCAGGCAGAGGAAGCTGGGAGAGGGTTAGCAGGAGTTTGACACAAACCGGGAGGTCAGGCAAGCACTGGGGGCCGCGTGGCAGGAGAGCCGCATGATCCCGGAGTGAGAGAGGCCGGGAGGTGGAGGAGAGGCCCTCAGGTGTGTGTTGTGCGTGGCAGGGAACGGTTGAACTCACACAACTCCGCGCTCAGTGGTCCCGACGGTCTGGTCCATGAAGGAGCGGGTGGGAATGAATGAAGTCGTCCCGAGCCTCAGCCTTGTACACAGTGAGGACCTGGTGTTCCCGTGAGGGAACCTGAATTGCCACTGGGGGTGGGTGACGGGAGACCTCCGAAACAGGGTGTTGGCAGTGGGAGGGCGCGCGCGCACCGGCCTAGGCGCGGTGGTGGGTGCGCGCTGGGCGCATGGGCTGCCTTTTGGCCGTCACTCGGAACCCACCCACCCTTTTCTGGATCTAAGATTTTCCCGCCCCCCTTCCAACCCCCACCCCCGTTTTCCTGCCCCGCAGGAGCGGACCCGCCCCCCACCCTACCCCCCCGGCTCTGAGCCGTCGCCCCGAGACCCCGCTGGTACCCGCGCGCGGGCAAGTGGGCAGAGCTGTGCAGAGCCGGGCGGGCGACGCGACCTGCAGTGCGCAGAGGGGGCCGCGTCGCCCACCCCGCGCCACGCACGCACGCACGCAGCTGACCGCCCCCTCCCCCGCCCCCACCCCCGCAGGGCCGCGGCCATGGACAAGATCCTGGAGGCGGTGGTGACGTCGTCGTACCCGGCCAGCGTGAAGCAGGGGCTGGTGCGGCGCGTGCTGGAGGCGGCGGCGCGGCAGCCGCTGGAGCGCGAGCAGTGCCTGGCGCTGCTGGCGCTGGGCGCGCGCCTCTACGTGGGCGGCGCGGACGAGCTGCGGCGCCGCGTGGGCTGCCAGCTGCTGCACGTGGCGGGCCGCCACCACCCGGCCGCCTTCGCCGAGTTCTTCTGCGCGCGCCGCGTGCTGCGCCTGCTGCAGGCCGGCCCGGGGCCCCCCGGCGCGCGCGCGCTGGCCTGCGTGCAGCTGGGCCTGCAGCTGCTGCCCCCCGGGCCCGCGGCCGCCGAGCTGGCCGCGCTGCTGCAGCGCGAGGTGCTGCGCGCCGCGGGCGAGCGCCCGGGCCCGGCCGCGTGCGCGCAGCTGGCGCGGCTGCTGGCGCGGCACCCGCAGTGCCTGCCCGACGGCCCGCAGCGCCTGCTCCTGTGCCGCCAGCTGGTGCGCTGCCTCGGCGCCTTCCGCTGCCCGGCCGAGGGCGACGCGGGCGCCGTGCAGTTCCTGGAGCAGGCGCAGCAGGTGAGCGCGCTCCTGGCGCAGCTGTGGCGCTCGCAGCCCGCCGCCGTCCTGCCCTGCCTCCGGGAGCTGTTCGCCGTCATCTCGGCCGCAGGTGCGGGCGGGTGGGCGCGCGGGGAGGGCGGGCGGGCTGCCCCGGGCCCAGCGCGAGCCTCCCCCACCCCCGTTGCAGACGAGGAGCCCCCGTCCAGCGCCCTGGCCAGTGTGGTCCAGCACCTGCCCCTGGAGCTCATGGACAGTGTCGTGCGCAACCTCAGCAACGACGACAGCGTGACCGACTCCCAGATGCTGACGGCCATCGGCAGGTGGCCCGAGGGTCCGGGCGGGGGTGGGCCCATCCCGCTCCCAGGAGCCCCCCTGTGCGCCACGACCGACCGCTCGGGCCTTTCGGGCCCGCGTCCGTGCGCCCCGTGCCTGGGCCAGAGGCGGAGAGCCCGCCCCGGACCCCGTCAGGCTGGGGGGCCGGCCGAAGGGGCCTGCGCCTTCGGGGAGGTGCTCTGACCCTCCGTTTCCCCCCCCCCCCCCTGTAATAGCCGAGGTTAGCAGTGATGGAGGAAGGAAGCTGTCAGGGTTTGCTGGGGTGGTGTGGAGGGACCCCAAGGCCGGGCGACCCGGGTTCTGTCCTCAGCACCGCACAGGGTCGCCCAGCCCTCCTGCCAGGAATGATCCCCGAGCACTGCCCCGGTGGCCCAAGAACCGAAAGCAAACCAGCCAGCAACCCTGGGGCCGCGGCAGGGACCTGGGCCTGCGGGGTCTGGGTCACAGTCTCTGCACACCCCAGGATGATTGACTGGGTGTCCTGGCCCCTGGGGAAGAACATTGACAAGTGGATCATCGCGCTGCTCAAGGGCCTGGCTTCCGTGAAGAAGTTCAGCATCCTGATCGAGGTGTCACTGGCCAAAATCGAGAAGGTTGGTGTTGGTGCGGGCTCTCTCGGGCAGCCTTGCCCGGTGACCTCTTCCGGTGGGGTGAGTGGGCTTGGGGTTTTCTGGCTGTTCTCTTGCAGGTTTTCTCCAAGCTCTTGTACCCGATCGTCCGGGGAGCCGCCTTGTCTGTCCTCAAGTACATGCTCCTGACCTTCCAGCACTCCCATGAGGCCTTCCACTTGGTGAGGGCCAGCGACCCCCGCCTACCTGCTCATCCCAACCCCTGCCGCACCTCTGCACCTGCCCCCGCCGGGCAGGCTCTCTCTGGGGGTCAAGAATCAGGGCTCAGGGGGCTGGAGCGATAGTACAGGTAGGGCACTTGCCTTGCACACACACGGCCGACTCGGGTTTGATCCCCAGCATCCCATATTGTCTGAGTGACCAGGAGTGAGCCCTGAGCACAGAGCCAGCCGTCAGCCCTGAGCGCTGCTGGGTGTGGCCCCAAAACAGAGAACAATATGAGAAACATAACAGATCAGGGCCCAGCATTGCATTTGGGAGTCGGGCACCGTGGGGTGTGCAGGTCCTTCTAATTCCTGGGCTTCTCTCTCTCCTGGGGACCCCTGCATGTGCTCTCTGCAACGCGTCATCTTTGCTACTCTTTAGCTAATAGCCCGGCTCTGAACCTGGGTCTCAGGACTGAAAGGAAATTGAGACCCAATATACCCCTCATGGGTAGAGGCCAGGGGTCCTTGATGCCTCCCCCCGCCTGGCGAGAGGAGCAGGCCTGGAATAACAGCAGCTCCGATACTTGGGCTGACGTGTGTGCTGGAACAGACCCGCTCACTCACCCGCTCCCAGAGCCGGCCCGGGAGACGTTTTGGTGTTTGTTTTTGGAGCTCGGGACTCGGGGCTCTAAACCCAGGATGGAGTCCAGCGGGGAGGGCGCTTGCTTCAACACGACTGACCGGGGCTCAGTCCCGGGTTCCCATACGGTCCCCTGAGCCAGGCGTGATCCCTGAGCAGTCAGGAGCCCCGACTCCTCCAGCCTCACCCGCTCTGCTCTCCCCCAGCTGCTCCCGCACCTGCCCGCCATGGTGGCCTCTCTGCTGAAGGAAGGCTCCGCCTCGGGGAGCAGCTGCCTGGAGCAGCTGGCCGAGCTGGTACACTGCATGGTGTTCCGCTTTCCTGGCTTCCCGGACCTGTACGCGCCCGTCATGGAGGCCATCAAGGTGAGCCCCGGCCCCGCGTGTGCTCCCGGCCACCCGCTCCTGTCTGGCTGGCTCCCAGTCTCCACAGGCACCTCCTTTATAACCACGAATCCTTTTCTAGTCCCAAGCCATGAGTGCTGATGGTTTCTTGAACAGCTCTGGTGCCACCTCCCTCAGGAAGCCCTCCATGATAACTCTCAGGTCCTGCCTGGTCTCACCAGGCGCCCAGGGCTTTCCCTCATGCCCCTTGTCACCTGTTCTCCCTGTGTGGGTCCCCCGCCCCAGTAATGAGCCCCTGCCCAGAATAGGTGGGTATGGTTTCCAGCAATGCCTGCGGCTGGGGGAGCATGAGGGCGGAGACCAAGTCTGAAGGCAGAGGTCTGTTCCCACATGTTACTGGCACGCGGATGAGGCAGTGCCCTTGGGCTGTAGTCCAGGAAGGCTTCTCAGAAGAGGTGACATCTTTTTTTAGCGCTGACCCTGCTGTGCCTCCACCTCTTGTTGCGTGCTGCTTCCTCAGGACCTCCATATTCCCAGCGAGGAGCGCATCAAACAGCTTCTGGGACAGGACGCCTGGACCTCACAGAAGAGCGAGCTGGCCGGCTTCTATCCCCGACTCATGGCCAAGTCAGACACGGGCAAGACCGGCCTCATCAACCTGGGCAATACCTGCTTCGTGAACAGCGTCCTGCAGGCCTTGTTCATGGCTTCCGAGTAGGTGCTGCTCGGGGTTCCCGCCTGCCTGGGGTGGGGCCCGGCTGGGGTGGGCAGGGGGCTGGGTTTGCCTGCAGCCCCTGGGCATTGCCGTATGCTTATACCAGGGTGGGAACCAGAGACAGGGCTTGGCACTGCCCCGGCCAGGCGTGGGTCGACATCACACACTTTCCTCGGAGAATCCACAGGGCCCGGGCTGGGTCTTGCAGATGGGAACTCCACAACGCACACTGGGGTTAGCCCCTTCCCGACAGCTCAGGGCAGGGCTCAGCTCCAGTCCCTGGCAGAGCTGCTCCCCAGAGCATCCTCGGGAGTGACCCCCAAGCGCTGAACTGGATGTAGTCCCTGGGCACTGACCCCAAGCCAAAACCGAACCAGGCAATAGAATTCTTACTGCCAGGGGTTACCAATCCAGCGCAGGGCCCGTTTAAAACTCCCTTGCAGGGCCGGAGCGAGAGCACTGGAGGGAGGGCACCGGCCTGTACACAGCCCAGATTCCATCCCCGGCATCCCATATGGTCCCTCAAGCCCACCCAGGAGTGATTCCTGAGTGCAGAGCCACAAGTAAGCCCTGAGCATTGCTGGGTATGACCCTAAAAACCAAAAAAAGAAAAAAAAGAGAAATAATAAAGCTTCATTTCCGTCATGCTGTTGGATATCTTAGGGTTTCCTAGGAGACAGCTTGAAAGGCTGTGCACATTTATTTTATTTTATTTACTTAATTTTTTTTTGTTGTTGTTACTGTGTCTGGCATATCGAATACTCTCGGTAGCTTGCCGGGCTCTCCGAGAGGGGCGGAGGAATCGAACTCGGGTCGGCCATGTTGGCCGCTTGTAAGGCCAACGCCCTACCCGCTGTGCTTATTTTGTGATGTAGTTCACTCAGTTTTTGGCTGGAGCAGTAGCAGAGTGGGTAGGGTGTTTGCTTTGCATGTGGCCAACCTGGGTCCAATTCCCTGGCATTCCATATGTTCCCCCATACACCGCCAGGAGTGATTCCTGAGGGGAGAACCAGGAGTAACCCCTGAGCATCACTGGGTGTGACCCAAAAAGCTAAAAAAAAAAAAGTACTTCACAATATTTGATTACATTTAATATTCAGACACCAATCGCACCACCATTACACCTTCCCATCGCCATATTTTGGGTGTTTCCATCCCGGACCCCACTCCCTGTCCCAAAGCAGTATCGAAATAATATAATATTTCCCTCTAAGGTTGTTTGCCTCCTGCTTTGAGTCCCATCAAATGTGGTGTGGTACTGTTGCAGTATGGGTAGGGTGTGTCCTATGAAAAATGCTGCATTTGTGGCTGCGCAGTCCAGGAAAAGATTCACTCGTGGGTGAGGCTTGGCCTGAGCGTGTAAAGAGTGGCCATGAGCGTGGCGGTGATTGAGTTCTGGAGGTTTTCGGCTGCCGAGGCTGGTTCCCTTGGGGTGGGGAGGGGTCTCACCCACCCGCCTCTGGGACGCCCTGAGTGAAATAGCCTGGCGTGGGTTCTGGCGGTGTGGTTGTGGCTATCGTCGACATATTTAGCACTTTGGGAAACTTAGATCTGATTTCCACCCCAGCCCGGTCTCCCAGAGCCTCTGGGAACTCCCTCCTCCCCAACCTCCTGAGCACCAGATCTGTCCCCCAGGCCAAACCAAATCGACACTTGAACCAAATTTGTGTTGAAGCATACTCTAGGAGAACTGTCTTGCCCGTTTTGAAGTGGCCAGTTCACTGGGATAGTGTCCTCTGGATAGCCATCCCTGAGTCTGACCTCAGAACCCTCTCTGGCTTGTAATTGGACACTTTGGAGTATCCCGTGCTTTCCCGACAGCTCCCAGGCTCCCCTCCACCAGCCCCGGGCTCCCCGTTACTCCATTCCCAGGCTCTCTCGTGAGTGGGCTCAGAGAGCGTTTGTCTTCTCCTAGTGGACTGACTCCCCTCTCTGTCAGATGCCTCTGCACTGCATTGTTTAAAGCATCCCCCAACTTGTATTCGTTTTTGCCGCACACCCATCTGGGCACAGGGCTTAACTCGTGGTGGGGCGCTGGGCACCTGTGTGGGATGCCAGGCATCAGACTTCGGTGGACTGTGTGCACAGCAGGTCTTTCTTCACTCCACGCCGTGCTGGTCCCCACTTTGTAGCTTTCTTGGGGAATCCGGGGCCACACAAGCTCCGTGCTGGCTTCTGGCAAGGGAGAGTTTCTGAGGAATCTGTGGGAAGCAGCTTCTTGGTTCCTTGTGGGAACAGCAGAGTGTGGTGGCACACACCACCCCGACACAGCGTGTCCACACTGGCTCTCACCCCAGGAGGACCCCCCCCCCCCCCGGCCAGGGCCTGCTGCTGATGAGACTGTGTTAAGGGCCCATGTTCTATTTTTTTTCTTTTATTTTGCTTTTTGGGTCACTCCCAGCAATGCACAGGAGTTACTCCTGGCTCATGCTCTCAGGAATTACTCCTGGCGGTGCTCAGGTAACCATACAGGATGCTGGGAATCAAACCCGGGTCGGCCACGTGCAAGGCAAACGCCCACCCCACTGTGCTCTCACTCCAGCCCTGCATGTTCTTGTCTGTCCCGCAGTTGGTGACTCTTGGCCAATTCCTTGTCACTGTGGATCTGGGTATATATGAATGTCTCATTGGTTCCTGATTATATTCTCTTTTTGGGGGGAGGGGGTGGCGGTGCTCACCTTGCTGTGGGTTGGGGCTCCATGGTGCTTTTGGGAGACTTGGGGGATAATATAGATCCTAGGTGGCATTCAAGGCACAAACCTGGGCCCCCGGGCCCCCTGAGTGCTGTGGGGGTAGCCTAGGTGTCCTCCGAGTGGCCCGAGCAGCTTCCTACCCTCAGAATTAAACTTGTTGGCCTGGTTAGCCAAGGGTCACTGGGATGGTCCCGGCCCCTGAGTACCACCTGGAACCTCCAGCAAATGCCACTGGAGTCTGACCATGAACAACTTTGTAACTGTGTATCTCATGGTGACCCAAAAAACGATATTTTTAATAAAAAAAAAAAAAGAAAGAAAGAAAGAAAAAATCACAGTGCCTCTCTAGATGGCTCTGGGTAGTGTGATTTTCCCTCACTGTTCTTCGTCTTTCTGTGGTGGGCATCTTTATGGCCTCAGGTAAGTCGCCTACCTTCATTTTCTCAAAAATGAATTTTCTTTTCTGGAGCAGAGAACACATGAGGTAAAGCCACTTACATGTGACTGGCTGCAGGACCACGTCCCCCTGGTTCTGGTCCCTGGCACCACGTCCCCGAGCAGTGCCAGGGCTCTCTCCTGAGCACTGAGCCAGGAGCAGGCCCTGAGCATTTGAAGATGTGCCCCCCCTCCCTTTTTTTCCCCCTGAGGTTTTACCTTGTTCTTGAATTTGGAAACTATTCCTCTGTTTTCTTGATCATTTTTCTTGATTCTGTGTTTTTTTTAAATATAATAAATATTTACCTTTTCTGATTTGATGTAGGTAGTGACCTGGTCTCGAAGAATCTGTTCAACCATGCTCTACTTTTTGTTTTTTGTTGTTGTTTGGTTGGGTTTGGGGCCAAATGCTCAGGGCTCTGCACTCAGGAATCACTCCTGGCAGTGCTTGGGGAGGGAAGGGGGAACCATATGGGATGTGGAGAATCCAACCCCGCTTGGCTGCGTGCCAGGCAAGTGCCCTGCCCCCCACTGTACTATCACTCTGGCCCCCCATGCCCTAGTTTTCTTTTCTTTTCTTTTTTTTTTTGCTTTTTGGGTCACACCTGGCGATGCACAGGGGTTACTCCTGGTTCTGCACTCAGGAATTACTCCTGGCAGTGCTCAGGGGACCATATGGGATGCTGGGAATCGAACCCGGGTCGGCCGCGTGCAAGGCAAACGCCCTACCTGCTGTGCTATTGCTCCAGCCCCATGCCCTAGTTTTCAGTTCTCTCTCCAACCTTGTGATGATCCAGTTAGCCTACTATGTTATTATTATTAGGGTTTTTTTTTCTTTTTGGGTCATACTCGGCAATGTACAGAGGTTACTCCTGGCTGTGCACTCAGGAATTACTCCTGGCAGCGTTCGGGGAACCCTATGGGATGCTGGGAGTCGAACCCGGGTTGGCCGCGTGCAAGGCAAACACCCTACCCGCTGTGCTATCACTCCAGCCCTTTTATTAGATTTTGAGGACAGAGCGGGTGGTGCTCAGGGATCGTTCTTGTTGCGTCTCGGCAGCAGGGGTAGAGGTCAGACCCAGGCTGCCCACGTACAGAGTGTCTGCCCAGACTGAGCCTCCTTTGCTCTCGGTAGCTGAGGGTGTGCTGGGAGCTATAAGAGCTGGAAGTCTTTCCAAGGGGATATTCCCACCTGCTTCCAGCTAGTGAAAGCCCTCAGCACAGTGCTCGAGGACGCTTCTGCCAAGGGGAGCTGAGGAGAAGGGCTTCCACCTCTGGGTGCTGGTGCTGGTGCTTGGCCCATCAGGAACAGGAACTGTCTCCTTGTTTTCTCCCATCCTCATGAGCCCGTGAAAACAAGTTCTGTTGACCAGAGCTAAGGCATCTGTCCTCTGGGTCACAACCACGAGACCAGAGCCCTGGAAATGTGCATCGGACCTCCATGACCTGGCATGGGTGGAGAACAGGCTCCAGATAGTCCCTGCAGGTCACCACTGTCTCTGCAGAGACATTTTTTTTACATTAAAATATTTTTTTTGAGTCACCATGAGATACACAGTCACAAAGTTGTTCATGGTCGGGTTGTAGTTCTACAGTGTCCCAACATCCATGCCTTCACCAGTGTACATTTCCCACCACCAGTGTCCCCAGTTTCCCTCCTGCTAATTCTCCACCCCACCAGCCTGCCTCTATGGCAGACAACTTCCCTTCTCTCTGTCTCTCACTCTCTTTCCTTCTGAGCGTCGTGGTTTGCAAACAGGCACCGACAGGTTATCACGTTTGTCCCTTTCCTTCCTTTCAGCGCTCAGTTCTTGCCCAGAGCGACCATTTCTAACTCTCATTGTCACACTGGTCCCTTCTCCATCCTAACCGCCCTCCCCAGTTGTGGCAAGCTTGGAACTGCTGCTCTGCTTGGCCAAAGATTGCGGGGTTGGGTCCCCAGATGTGTCGTGCTTGGGGTGCCCCAGATGGGTCGTGCTTGGCCCCATCGGAGCAGGGGGTGGGGGGCAGAGGAAGGAAATGCGGCTGGCAGGCATGAGCTCAGCAGGTGGGGACGGCTGTATTTTTTGCTGGGGAGCTGAAGGTCATGCCTGGTGGTAAGTGACCATGTGTGGTGCTGGGGACGGAATGGGCCTGTGTGAGGAGCGTATGCAGCTCCTCTGAGCCACCACACGGGCTCTGTGGCCTCCCTGGGCTGGTATTTGGGGGGCTCTTCCAGGGCCTGACAGATGGGAGTTCCAAGCCTTGCTTCTTGCGGAGAGGCTGGAAGTTGCACACTGCTGCACCGTGGTGAGACGGGAAGGCTTGCCGATGATGGCCTGTCTGTCTGTCTATGGGTCACATCCCCCCCTCCTCCCCCGGTGCTCAGGAGTGACCCCTGGTGGTGTGGGGGATTGAACTAGGGTCAGCCACATACAGGATAAGGACTTAGGCCCCCGTGTTACCTCTTCGTCCCCCACATTCCTTTCTTTTATTCTCTATCCTTTGTCCCTACCTCATGTCGCCTCAGTTCCGATGTCAGTGTTGCCTGGGTTATTTTTTTAAATTTTTTATTTATTTCCTCAAGGTAAAGGCCCTCCCGTTGTTCATCGATTTCCTCGCCAGGCTCTGCCGTGCGGGATAGCACAGCGGTAGGGCGTTTGCTTTGCACACAGCCGACATGGCCGACCCGAGTTCGATTCCTCCGCCCCTCTCGGAGAGCCCGGCAAGCTACCGAGAGTCTCTCGCCCCCACGGCAGAGCCTGGCAAGCTCCCCGTGACGTATTCGATATGCCAGACACAGTAACAACAAAGTCTCCAATGGAGACGTTACTGAGCCCGCTCCAGCAAATCGATGACCAATGGGAGGGCCTTTACTTTACTTTACTTTTATTTATTTAATTTATATTAAATTTTTTTATTGAGTCACTGTGAGATATACCCTTACAAAGCTGTTCATGATTGGATTTCAGTCATACAGTATTCTAATATCCATCCCAGCACCAGTGTCCACAATTTCCCTCCCATGACTGCCCCTCCCCCCTCCATGGCAGGCACTCTTTCTTTTTCCTCCTCCTCCTCCTCCTCCTCCTCCTCCTCCTCCTCCTCTTCCTCCTCCTCCTCCTCCTCCTCCTCCTCCTCCTCCTCCTCCTCCTATCTTCTTCTCTCCTTTTGGGCATTGTGGTTTAGCAGTAACTGAAATGTTATCAGGTATATCCCTTTACCTACTTTTTTTTTTTGCTTTTTGGGTCACACCTGTTGATGCATAGGGGTTACCCCTGGCTCTGCACTCAGGAATCACCCCTGGCGGTGCTCAGGGGACCATATGGGATGCTGGGAGTCGAACCCGGGTCAGTCGTGTGCAAGGCAAACGCCCTACCCGCTGTGCTATTGCTCCAGCCCCCCCTTTACCTACTTTTAACACTCAGTCCTTGTCCAGCGTGATCATCTCCAACTGTTATTGTCATATTGGTCCCTTCTCTGACTTACCTCCCCTCCCCACCTGCCTGGTTTATTTTTATTTTATTTTCTTATTCATCAGTTCATATTTGTATTTTTCAGTCATGGTGTTTGGTTTTGTTGTTTTGATTTTTTTTTTAAACTCCTGGTTCTGTGCTCAGGGATCACTCCTTGGGGAACCCATATGGGGTGCCGGGGATTGACTACGAGTTGGCCACGTGCACGACAAGTGCCCTGCTATTGCTCTGGCCCCTCGTTGTTCTTTCATAGAGTTTATCGATTCTGCTTGCTCAGATCTGCCTTTGATTCCTGTAGAGAGATTTTTGCTTTTTGCAGTTACTTCTGTTGCAGCTCCAGGATTTCCTTTGGCCCCGTCCACTTCTCTGTCTGCGGGTCGCTGTTTTGTTCACACACGGTTGGTGTGACTTGCAACGTATCTTCCGTTAGTCTGTGAGCACATGATGTTCAATCCTTTTATGATGTACCTGCCACTTCTCAGGGACAGCATCCTTTAACTCTCTTTTTCCTTCAGTTGGGTCGGACTTTCCTGTGGCTTTGTATGTCTGATGCTTTTTTGTTGTTGTGGATGGCTATATATTTGAATGTTATGTAATTCGTATGTAATGTATTGGGGGGTTAATTGGGGCCACACCCGGCTGTGCTCAGGGCTTACACTCCTGGCTCTGCACTCGGGGATCACTCCTCATGGGCTTTGGGGACCAGATGTGGCGGTGCTGGGGATTGAACCCAAGGCAAGCTCCCGACCTGCTGTCCTGTCTCTCTGGCCCCTGAGGTAGAGAATCTTTTCATGTGATTATTTGCCTTCTGTGTTTTTTTCTCTGGTGAGGCAGCCTTTCGGACAGGGGCCGGAGAGATGGAATAGCAGGTAGGGTGCTTGCCTTGCTTGCCGCTGACTGGGGGTTTGATCCCCAGCATCCCCTGTGTTTCCTGAGCCCCACCTGGAGTGATTTCTGAGTGCAGAGCCAGCAGTAAGGCTGGCTTACACACTGGCCACCGCTGGTGTTGCCCAAAACCACTTGTATCACTTGTCGTCCCATTGTTCATCGATTTGCTTGAGCGGGTGCCAATAACGTCTCCATTCGTCCCTGTCGCGTGCTAGCATAGCCCAATGGCGTATTGGGGGCTCTTTCAGGGTCAGGGGAATGAGATGAATGAGATACGTTATTGTTGTTGTTTTTGGCATATCGAATACGTCGCAGGTAGCTTGCATGTGGCTTGCATGTGGCTCTGGTCCAAAAACAACAAAAAACAAAAAGGTGTTTTGCATTTTTTCTTTGAATTGGTTTTTTGGAGGGGAAGGGTTTGGTTGCGTGTCAGCTGTGCTCAGGGGTCACTCCATGCTCCTCACTCAGGAATCACTCCTGGTATGCTTAGGGGACCACATGGGATGTCAGGGATTAAACCTGAGTTGGCCACGTGAAGGGCAAGTGCCTTACCTGCGGTACCACTGCTCCGCCATGGTTTGGTTGAGTTTTAAGAGCTGTACCTTTGCAAATATTTTCTCTCCCAGTCTGTGGCTTGTCTTCTAATTCCCCTGTCTCTTGAGGAGTGGGTGTTTTTTTTAACATTAATGAAATCAGCATTTACTAATCCTTCAATGATAGAGCGAGTCTTTGGCGTTGCATTTAGAAGGGCATCCCCACCCAGTGTCCGTCGCCATCTGTCCTCACCCACCTCCCATTGGCTTCCTTTTTTGTTGTTGTTCTTTTGGGGGCCACAGCCAGGTGATCAGGCGTTTGTTAGTCCTGACACTGCACTAAGGGATCACTCCTGGTGGTGCTCAGGGGACCATATGGGATGCCAAGGCTCGAACATGGGTTGGCCACATGCAGGGCAAACGCCTTACCTGCAGTACCATCACTCCGACCTCTCCATTAGCGTCTAACAGTTTTGCAGTTCTGTGCTTTGCTTTCAGTTCTGAGAGCCATCTTTCAGGTTTTTTGTTTTTGGCCCACAGCTGACCGTGCTCAGGGCTTCCTCCTGACTCTCTGCTGAGGGATCACTCCTGGTGGTGCTCGGGGAACTTTCTGGGGTGCTGGGGATCAAACCCAGGTTGGCCACGCGCAAGGCGAACACCCTACCTGCTGCCCTATCTCACCAGCCCCCATCTTTCAGAGTCTATGAAAGATGTAAGGTGCCTCGATTCACTTTTTCATAAGCGGATGGACACTTCCAGCAGGTGTCCTCATTTTTTTTTTTGAGGCAGGGGATATTGGTTTGGGGCCCGACCTGGTGGGATTCAGGGGCGATTCTGGCTCTGTGCTCAGGAGTGCCCTCAGGTGGTGCTTGAGCCCTACGTAGCGCTGGGGATTGAACTGGAGTAACTGGAGTTGGTGGGTGGCAAGGCAAACACCTTCCCCTCTGAATGATCTCACTGCTGGGGTCACACCTAGCAGTGCTCAGGCTGACTCCCAGCTCTGTGCTCAGGGATCACTCCTGGCAGGACTCAGGGAACTATATGGGATGCTGAGGATGGAACCCCAGTTGGTCACATGCAAGGCAAGTCCTTCCCTGGGGGCTCCACTCTCCCCTCAGACCCTGGACATCTTCTTAGAAAGTCCCAGTGAAAGGGCTTTGTGTCCGGCTTGCTGGGACTCCTTGGTGCTGTCTGGCGCAGCCTCACTTTCCTGACCCCCCAGCCTGCTCCCTCCATAGGCAGCTTAGGTCTGACAGGCCCAATGGGATCATGGTCCCAGCGGTTCCACCATCAGCAGCTGGCTCAGAGCTCTCAAGATGCAACCTGGGCTTTGCCTTCCTTGCAGGGGCCACCTTGGCCAGTGCTCGGGGTGCAGAGAGCACATATCTGCCTGCCCTGGGCTGTTTAGGAGAACAGGGACAGAGCTGGGCATCAGCGTCCTCTCCCTTGCTCTGCACCCCTCTTCCCACAGTTTCCCCCCCACTCCTCTGTGGGTCGAGGGTCAGAGTGGCTGGAGGGCTGAGGTGGGAGCGGCTGCTCCCCAGGGAGGCAGGGAGGGTGTGTGAGTGGCGCAGCCGGAGAGGCACAGGCTGGGACCCAGATGGGGACAGTCCGGCCAGCCCTGCTCTGAGGGTCAGAGGAGACCCCAGTGTCCTGTGGCTGTCTGGGCCAAGCTCACTCAGTGCTCCTGGCCTCTGGCCCGGTCTGGAGCCGGAAGCACCGGGGCTGCCTGCAGTGGAGGGAGGTGGAGGCTGGGGTGTCCCGGGCTCACCCCAGTGCTCCTTTGTCCGGAAGCTTCCGCCACTGTGTGCTCCGCTTGACTGAGAACAACTCGCAGCCACTGATGACTAAACTGCAGTGGCTCTTTGCCTTCCTGGAGCACAGCCAGGTGAGTGCCAAGGGCCAGGTTCTGCTGCCACCCCTGCGCCTCTGGCTGGGGTACTTGGGGATGGGGCATGGTCCGACACATGGGGAGACGCCGGCAGTACCCCTGGCAGGAGGAGACGCTTCCAACCTGCTGTCCAGGGACACTTCCAGGCTTGGTGGCATGCACTGCTCCGGTCTGGGGCCAGGTCCCTGCCCTGTCCTGTATATGTGTGTATGTTTGGGGGTGGGGGGACATCCCGTTCCTGGGGGTCAGGTCCCCACCCCATCCTTGGGACCAGGCCCCGAGAGGGGATGAGGAAGCAGCGTTCTTGGCCCTCACCCCATCTCTGTCCTCACCGCTGGGGAAGCTGCACACACAGGTGACAAGGGTGATGGGGGCGGGAGGGGTTGCTGAGACACAGAGGAGCATCACAGAGGCACCCGGGTGCTGAGCATCTCGGAGGGGACAGTGGTAACGGAGAGGGAGCCTGAGGCCGACAGCTCTGTGGGTGGGGGGGCTGCTGGCCGCCATGGTCCTACCTAGCGGTGTGGTGGCATGGGGCTGACACAGGGAGTTGGGGACAGGAAGCCCTTTGGTAGGGGGCCGCAGGGGTGAGGGGGGGGTGCAGAGCAGTCCTCTCCAGGGCAGTGCTGCCCTGCTTCCTGCGCTACTGACCGCCGGTCCCTGCTGTCCCCGTCTGCCCGCAGCGGCCAGCCATTTCTCCAGAGAATTTCCTCTCTGCGTCCTGGACCCCCTGGTTCAGCCCTGGGACCCAGCAGGACTGCTCTGAGTACCTCAAGTACCTGCTGGATCGGTGAGGAGGGTCTAGGGACCCCCCCCCCCAAGAGGTCTGGCCTGGAGGGCGGGGGAGGTCCCATTCGGCTGGCTTGTGCAGCATCCATGTGGAAGGATCGAGAAGGGGGCTGCTTGGAGGCAGGTCAGTGTGAGGGGGGCTTGGGGCCTGTGCTCCGGGTATGTGCATTTGCATGGACACAACATGTATGTGGCATGCACGTGCCTTGCGGACACCCTCTGCCGCCCCCTCCGCCCCTGCCCAGGCTGCACGAGGAGGAGAAGACGGGAGCCAGGATCTGCCAGAAGCTCAAGCAGTGCAGCTCCCCGGGCGCGCCGGAGGAGCCCCCGCTCCCCGCTCCCACGTCGGTGGAGAGGATGTTTGGGGGCAAGATCGTGACAAGGATCCGTTGCCTGCGATGCCTCAACGTCTCCTCCCGGGAGGAGGACTTCACGGACCTGTCTCTCGCCTTCCCCCCGCCGGAGCGCGGCCCGCGCCGCCGCCGCCTGGGCTCCGCCGTGCTCCCTGCGCCCGACGTCGGGGTCCAGAACCTTCCGGCGGCAGCGCCAAGGCAGCGGAAACACTGCATCACCGGAGACGCGCCCCCCAGCCTCCTGGACCTTCAAGGCCTGGGCCGGGGGGATCCCGGGGGGCAGAGCCGCGGCTGCGAGAGGGAGGCAGGGGAGGAGCCCGCGGAGGGGCGGGAGGAGGGGGAGGAGCAGGAGAAACAGGAGCAGGAGGAGGAGGAGGAGGAGGAGGAAGAAGAGAAGGAGGAGGAGGAGCAGGAGAAGGAGCAGAAGGAGAAGCAGAAGGGGGAAGAGAAGCAGGAGGAGGAAGAGGAGAAGGAGAAGGAGGAGCAGACGCAGGAGAAGGAGGTGCAGGAGGAGAAGGAGGCCGCGCGGGGAGAGCCGGGGGAGGCGCGCGCCGAGCCCGCGCCCCCCGCGCCCCCCGCGCCCCCCGCGGCCCCCGACGGCCCCCGCTCCGTGCTGGACCTGCTCAACTACTTCCTGTGCCCCGAGCGGCTGACGGCCGAGAACCGCTACTTCTGCGAGCCGTGCGCGTCGCTGCAGGACGCCGAGCGCGCCGTGGAGCTGAGCCGCGGGCCGCGCTACCTGGTCCTCACGCTGCTGCGCTTCGCCTTCGACCCGCGCACGCGGCGGCGCCGCAAGATCCTGGACGACGTGGCCCTGCCGCTGCTGCTGCGCCTGCCGCTGGCCGGGGGCAGCGCGCGCGCCTACGACCTGTGCGCCGTGGTGGTGCACTCGGGGCTGTCCTCGGAGAGCGGCCACTACTACTGCTACGCGCGCGACGGCGCGCCGCGGCCCGCGCCCCAGTGGTTCCTCTTCAACGACACGCGCGTGTCCTTCTCCTCCTTCGAGTCGGTCAGCAACGTCACCTCCTTCTTCCCCAAGGACACGGCCTACGTGCTCCTGTACCGCCAGCGGCCCCCCGACGACGGCCACGGCCACGGCCACGGCGACGGCGACGGTGATGCCGAGCCCGGCGCGCCCAGGTCCCGTGCCGAGCCCGCGCTGCACCGGGACCTGATGGAGGCCATCTCCCGAGACAACGCCCTGTACCTGCAGGTGAGCCGCCGCTTCCCGGGGGGCGTGCGGTGTAGCCCCCCACCCCCGGGAGGCGCCCCGCGTGACGCAGCGCCTCCCCCATCACCCCCCACCCCCCGTGCCGTGCCAGGAGCAGGAGCAGGAGGCGCGCAGCCGCGCGGCCCACATCACCGCGCCGCCCTCCCCGCCGCCCTGGGGCCGGGGCTCCGACGAGGACGAGGATGAAGACGAGGGACCCCCGGGGGGCTGCAACCCCGCGGGAGGCGGCGGCAGCGGAGACTTCCACAGACTGGTCTTCTAGGGGGACCGCGTGTGCCCAGACGCCCACACCCACCAGGCCTATCGACTCTGACCCCGCGCGCGTGCGCGCGCGCCCCCCTGGAGAAATCGAGGGTCTGGGGGTCCGGGAGCGCGGGGCAGCGGGCAGCATCAACCCTCCGAGGCCGCGGCAAGCAGACAGCGGCTTCGCAGCCCCCTTGGCCGTCGAGGCCCTTGGGCACTGCGAAGGATGCAGTGCCCCGCCGCTAGCTTGGTACCCGGGAGGGGGCAGGCGCAGTTGACCAGCGGGAAGCAGCTTCGCAGGAGGGAGACGAGACACCCCTGTCCTGTTTCATCCCTCAGCATCCTCCCCGCAGCAATGCGGAGGGCGGGGCAGCCCGTGCAGTAGGGGACCCCACGCCCCTCAAGAGCAACGTGCAGCGCCCCCCCCCCCAGTGGGTACCCTGTGCCCCGGCTCCCCGCCCCCCCAGAGCATTGCGCACCCCTTCCCAGCGGGGACCACGCACCCCGCCTGCCTCAGTGCCTGACATGCTCCTTGCACCCCCTCTGGTGAGCGAGGGCCACCGCAGACTGTTTCTTGAGAAGCCAGGGTCTGTCCATCCCGAGGAAGCTGCTGGTTCAGCACCTCGGGGTGGTGGGGGGGCTTCAGCACTGGCTGGGGGCGTCCCGACCTCAGTGTGCCTGCCACCTCAGGGCCCCTTCGTGACGGAGACGAAACCCAGGTTTCCGGTAGAAATAAACGTAGTTCTCAAAGCTGGGCCACGTGGTTCTTCCCACCCACTCTGAGCTCCTGGGCCCTCATGGGACCAGGTCATGGATGCAGGTGCCCCCATCGGTGCTGGGGGAGTGGCCGAGGTGTGGCGACTTTCTGTTCTGAGTGGGGCGCCTGCCCGCTGTTGAGTTCCTGGCCAGGGGGTGTCAGTCTGCGGTAACCCAGCGCTCCTTTCCAGGGGAGAACAGAAGCAGCGGGCGAGAGAGGGGCTTGGGCCCGAAGGCCATGCCCTCCCTGCTGGTGGACAGCTGGGACAGTCACTCCTAAATCCATCCCTACATCCCCAGCATCAGAGCTGTCTCCCATCTGAGACGTCATCTATGCTCCTGGGCCCGAGCTAAAGTGCTCCCATGTGGCAAAGCCACGGGGTGTACACGTATGAGTATGTGTGACGGTGTCAGCGCACGTGCATATGTGTGTGTGACCAAGAGCGTGTACCCCCAGGTGTGCGTTTTCCCGCCACCCCTAATCCCTGAGACGAAACACACTCCAGCACCCTCTGTTGTCACTTCTACTGACTTTATTGTTGTCCTGTGTGGACCCACAGTATAAAGGGACCGTGGGCCCCAAGTGCTCCCTCCCCACCCGGCCCCCTCACAGAATCAATAACGGGTTACGATTCCCTTTGTTTTTTTTTTTAAACGAAAACAATAAATTAATAACTTAAGTGATTAGGCACCAACAGCGATTTGAAAAAGTAAGTATCAACTTTAAATGGTCACGGGGCACGGCCCCAGGCTGGCCTGCCCTGCCCCTCTGGCTGGCGTGGGGAAGCTTCGAAGGACATCCCACACACACACACACACACACACACACGCACACGCACACGCACACGTGCCCCGAACCCTGTGGCCCGGCCGCCGCTCTGCGGACAGACACCTTCCCCCTCCCTCCCCCCCCCAAGCTGTCCCCAGGGCCAGCTCATGGCTCGGGGCTTGTGCTTCTGTCTCGGAGTGGGGCAGTGTGGGTGCACTCCCTGTGCCGGTCACCATGCTCACTGCCAGCTGATGTGTGCCCGTTGCCCTGGGGAGAGGTGGGGGCAGGGGGGTCCCCTCACACCGTGGGCAGGGGCCTGAGTCCAGAGTCCAGCCCATTTCAGGGCAGGCACATGGGATGGGTGTCCCCCCCACCCCCCTTCCTGCTCCTGCCCTCATTCTCGTCTGAGCCCCCGTGTTCAAGGCATCCCTGTTCTGGGGTCTCTGTCCTGGGGGCCCTTTTCTAGCATGGGGGCTCCGAATCGTGTGTGTGTGTGTGTGTGTGTGTGTGTGTTTGTGTGTGCGTGCAAGTCCAGTCTCCCCCACAGACCCCTCTACACCCTAGGAGGGGTGGAGACCACCGACCTGCAGACCTGTGTCACTGCCGTCCTGGAACGCTCAGGTGTGGACATCACTGTGTCACCCTCGGGGTCACGGGGAAACAGGGCAGGGGTCCTCACGTGTCCCCCTCTGGGGGAGCACTTCCAATGGCTCCTGCCTTTCCCCGCCGGACCCAAGCCTCTCTGGTAATGTGGACACCCCCCCCCAACCCCTCCCTGGAGCCCTCCTGCCCTGGGCACCCTGTGACTGTCCACTTGCAGCTCCCTTGGGGCCCCGCCAGAGTGTCCTCCTTCACGGTGACCATGAGGACACCGAGTGACAGCTGTGTCCCCAGTGCCTCTCCTGCAGCCACCGGCCGATGCGGCTCCCTAGAACGGCATCTCAGGGGGCCTCCCGGTCACAGGGGTCACTGAGGAAGAGGAAGGCTGACCACCTCAGGAAGGTAGCCACGGGCCCCAGGACTTCCCACATGGGCACTGGCTCCCGAGGGCTGCTGCTTGGGTGATACCCTCCTGCTGTCTCGTCCCCAGAGCTTCACTGCCAGGAGGGTCAGTGCTGTCCCCCCAACCAGGTCAGGGGGCCCTGGGATGGCTGGCGGGTGAGGGTCACCCTCGCTCACCTGGCACGGCGGCTCCACACCCAGGTCCGCCCGGGTCCTCTCTGCCCCGGCTGGCCACGCCCCGGGCACTGCTCCAGGCGGCCCCTACCAGCTCAGCGCTCCTCCCCTCATCCCTCCACTTCCGGCCCTGCCGGGCCCCTCTCCTCCCTGTCACTTCTCACCTGCCATCAGTCACCTGCACCCCCTCCTTCTCCGGCAACTTGCTGTCACATCTCGTTCCCTGCACCATCTGTGCCCAGTCCCACCTCCCTGCGGTGCCCCAGCCCCAGGGGTCCCCCTGGGTGGTCTGTGCTAGAGCTGCCCACCAGTCCTGGGGCCCAAGCCTGTCTCCTGGGGTCTTAACGGCCCCCTGTCTTCCTTCATCCCTTTGGTCCTTAGCCTTTGGCCTCTCCCACGGGGCACCCACCACAGCAGGACCCCCCCCCCAAACAGCTGCTTTACCCTCCCCCCTAGTTCCATCTCCTGGGGTCTGTGCTGTCCCCCAGCCCCTAAACAAAGGGGGACATGCATGTCCACCCCGCTCTGCCCTGCAGCAGCCCCATCAGCGGGTGACCTGACCTTTCGGGGGGTCTCTCCGGGCTGGAACCTGGCTGGGTCCCCGTCCCTCCCTCCAAGGACAGTGGAGAGCCAGGTGTGAGGGCCAGAGGATGCTTTTTTTGGGGACCTGTAACTATGGCGGAGAACCAGCCCCCACTCGGAGGTCCAGAGGCAGCCATGTGGGCAGCAGTGCCCTGGGCAGGGTCCAGGTCCCTGATGTCAAGTGCTCGGAAGGCTAGCGGCAGCATGGTGGGGCTGAGGGGGGTGGCCAAGGCAAAGGGGCGGGGCAGGGGGGGGGCTAGTCGGGGGTGGGGGGCGCAGTCACAGCTTGGCGCCCTTGGCCGGCTCTGATGCCTGCCTAACGTCTGTCCACTCCTGCATGGTGCTCTGCAGGGCCTGCGTCTTCTCCTTGTCCACCTGCACGTAGTCCACCTTCTCGTCAGACGTGACGGAGGACGTGGAGGGCTGCAGGACGGGAGGGGGGCTGTGAGTGGTGGGGAGGGGCGGGCAGGGGTGGCCTCAGGTCCCCTGGAGGTGCGGGAAGGGGTATGCGTGGGCCATCAGACCTGCCTCTGGAATGTTCTGAGAGTGCCACCGAAGGCCTGGACCCCACAGCCCCTCCCTCCTGGAGGCACCGGCCTCTGCTGGCAGCCCCCACCTCCATCTCCCAAGCCCCCAAATGGGCCCCCGCAAGCACCACCCAGCTCTTAGTTCCCTAGGAACACGCACAGCCCCTCCAGCAGGGACCCAAGAGACCCCTCTGTGCCCTCTGGCAGCTGTGTCACTGGCCTGTGGCGGAGAGGGGAGTTAGGGGGTGGGTGTGTGTGTGTGTGTGTGTGTGTGTGTGTGTTGGGGGGGGAGATGGGGTTTCTCTGGGACTGGCTAGGCACAAAAAAAAGATCCCTGGGTCTCTCTGTGGGCAGCCTTTGGCTCTGTGGCCAACGCCAGTGGCTGGTGGGAGCCTGGGTCTGGCGTGGCGGAGTGGACTGAGTAGGGTGATGCAGGGTGGAGGTGCTGGCCCAGCTCAGGGTCCAAGCCCCAGCCTGAGTGCTGCTCCCGCCCGACCCCGCTCCTGGCCGGCCCCGCTCCCACCTGGTCCCGCCCCCGCCCTCGAGCCCCGACCCGCTCCTGCAGGCACCTTTCGGTGTGGGCTGGGGGAGCCGGGCTGGAAGTCCAGGGCCAGGTAGTCCACGCTGCCACTGCTCTTCTTGTGGGCGGGGCTGCCGCTGCCACTGGGCAGGGGAGATGCACACACCGGGTTTTGCTGTGGCGGGAAGGAAAAGACCTGAGCCGACCTGGCCACTGCCGGGAGCGGTCACTGCCAGGGGCAGCCGGGTGGGGGCCTCGGGAGCACCGGGCTGAGGCGCACACGCGCCATGGAGACCCCTCAGCAACGCTGCAGCCCTGCAGTGGGGCTGGAGAGCTGCTGTGCGCGTGGGCCACGGGGCTCGGGTCTCAGCACTGCACGGTTTCCAGAAGTGCACCCCTGCCCCACCCCCCACCCCCAACATAACAAAGCACGCACACACACACACACACACACACACACACACACAAATACGAGGGATTGCGGGCCCAGAGAGGCTGCCTTGCGCACTGCAGACCCGGGTTCGATCCCTGGCATCCCTTATGAGCACGGCCAGGAGTGATCCCTGAGTACAGAGCCAGGAGTGAGCCCTGAGCACTGCTGGGTGTGGCCCTAAAACAAAAACAAAGCAAAACCAACAACAAAAAACCCCCAAAACCATGCATGCGATTGCACACACATGCACACACAGATACATATGCGATGCATACACAAGTGTACATGTACACACACAATACACATGCACACGTGTGAACATACATAAATGCACACAGGCCCTCATAACGGCCCTTTGATGAAGCCAAGGCTGTTGGCACTGGTGTGCTTGTCTGACGAAGGACTGTGCCCTCCTGGTCCACCCTGTGGCCCACGCCCAGGGCAGCGGCCCAGAGAACCCCACTGGCGGGTGCTCACACTTGCTCTCGCTGCCACTTCTCATAGCGCTGGATGTGGAAGGCTCCTGCACAGTGGGTCTGTGCCCTGAGCTTGCTGCCCTGGGCTGCCCGCCACCCTGTTCTGCCCAGGCCAGTTTCACTCAGGCCCCGAGCCTTATTCTGAGGGGGAAGGGCCAGAGTTACCACCTGCTGCCCAGCTGGGTGGCCACTGGACCCTGCTTCCCATAGAGCTGTGAGCTGAGGGAACATCACCCTCCAGGGGAAACCGGGAATTCACAGGCCAGGCACCAACTGCCCTGACCCAGAGCTACACACGTGCCCCTCGGGGCGTCCATTCACACCATTCAAGGCCACACAGGCAGCTCCGCCCAGGGAAGGACGATCTTTCCTTCTGGCAAGGCCTGAAGGAGGAGCTAGCTCTCACAGGCTAACCCCCACGCCACTAAGGCTCAAGGTCAAGCCACCTCTCAAGGTCTAACTCAGGCCTAACGGAAGGTCATTCGGACTCTCAGGGTCAAGCCAACTCGAAAAGTGGGCAAGGTCCCCAGTGCTGAGGCTGCAGCATCTGTGTGGTCACAGGAGCATCTGTCCTGCCCAGGACAAGTCCTGACTCACCTGTGGGAGATAGCACCCAGGGCCTTTGGGATCTGGCCCGCCCAACTGTACTGGTGCCCGCCCACCTTGGACCGCCCACCATCCTGCTGCATCTCCTCACTCTGCATGGCCACCTCTACCCTGACCCAGGCCCATCTCCCGCTGGGCGTGAGGGCTCTCTCCGGAGGTGCTCCAGCCCCGCCTTCCGGGGACCCCAGAGGCTGCCTTCTCTGCCCCACGACTCCCTAGAGAGAGCTCAGTGCCCCCGAGACACAAGGACAGTCAAGTGCACACTCAGACATACAAACACAGGCACCCACCCTCAGACACACACACATACATGCATACACACTCTCACACATATACCTAAGGACACACACACACACGTGCGCGTGCGGGGGTTCCCGTGGAGCTCTCCCGCCTGAGTGGCAGGAGGGAGGCATAAGCACGCACCATGGGCACGTAGTTCTCCTCGCTGTCGCCCGAGTCGGTGCTGGTGATGCTCTGTGTGGAGATGGGGCGGCAGTACTGGGAGGAGCTGGCCGAGAAGCTGTGGCTGGAAGGGGAGAAGAGAGTCAGGGTGGCCCTCCTCACACCTGGGGCTCAGTGCCAGGCCCGCCCCCGACGCCCACTCACATGGCCCTCGACCAGGACTTGGTGATGGGAGACTTGAAGGGCAGCTCATCGATGACGGCGTTGTTCCTCAGGTCCAGCGGGGTTGGCTTGGCTGGAGCAAGCAGGGACAAGGGGAGAGGACAGCCACTGAGAAGGGAGGGACACACAACCACACACACAGAGGCATGCTCACACAACACCCTCTCCCATAAACCTCACACACACACATGCACTCATAACACCTCCACTCACTCATACCTACCCAGAGACACCACGCATACACACACACACACACACAACTTCCCTATGCACACACACTCAACAGCCACCTACCAGACACACACACACACCTCGTTCATACAACATCCCCCATTCACACACTCAGACACATTCACTTTATTTTATTTTTGGCTTTTTTGGGGTCACACCCAGCGATGCTCAGGGGTTACTCCTGGCGGTGCTTGGGGGACCATATGGGACACTGGGAATCGAACCCGGGTCGGCCATGTGCAAGGCAAACGCCCTACCCGCTGTACTACTGCTCCAGCCCCAGACAGACACATTCACTTTACACAGGTACCTTCTCATACTCAGATGTACACAGACACCCAAACACACACACGCACACACACTTAACAGCCACACACCAGACACACACACCTCATACAACACCCCCCACTCACACACTCCAACACATTCACTTTACACAGGTACCTTCTCATACTCAGATATACACAGACACCCAAACACACACACACACACACACACACACACACTCACTCCCCTATGGAGATGCACACACATGCATGTGTACATTCAAGGTTACAACACTGGAAGTATCATAAATGCCTTTCGCTGGCCCCAGCGTCAGGGAAACTGAGGCTCTGTAGGACAGTGTCATCTCAGCCCGTGTGGACAGGCTTGACGTCACCACTCCCAATCCCAAAGACAGAGTCCATGCACAGAGCTAAGAACGGGGCCGCGGGGCCCAACCGTAGACGCTGTCTCCTGCAGGTGGGTGTGCACGTCTAGTACAGAGAAGGCCCTGCCCCCTGCCCCTGGCCCCAGCCTGGTGCCTGCCAGGTCCCGGAAGGCGCCAAGCCCATGGCTCAGGCACGAGGTCGGAATCCCTGTGGCCGGAGCAAGGCTTTGGCTCTGCCCAGGGACTCCCTGATGCCCTGCCTCAGACTGAGACTGCCCAGGCTGGCACGTGAAGTCCCACTGGACACCACACGGGCAGCTCCAGGTTTCCATCACTCGGCGCCTCCCTGCTAAGAAGGAGCTGGAAGAAGCACTCACTCGCCACCTCACACCCGTGAGCCCCAGTGCCAGGCATGGGCTCAGAGCTGGGGCACGGGAACCCTGGGTAGGGGCCTCCAGGCCTACAAATAACAAGGCACCGAGCTGAGGCTCCAAATGAGAGATCACAAAATTCAACGGTCAGCCCGCCACACAACACAAATCTTAGAGGTAAAAAAAAAAAAAAAAAGAAAAAAGGGACTGACACCCGTCACATGCCCAGGCAGTGCCTTGTGAGGGCCAAAATGCTGGCCACCCCAGGTGGCTTTGTGGGTTCTCCCGGGGCCAGCCCCAAGCTCCACCTCACTCTGGGACCCTTGAAGGCCCTGGAGACACGACCCAGCACGTTGGCAGAGACCGTTGTTCCTCGGCAGTGCCTGGGCGCGGCCGCCCGTTTCAGTGGATGGGTCTTTCCGGGTGGACGGCGTGTGAGTGTGAGCGTGTGAGAGAAGCCGGGACTCGTCCCCAGACCCAGACCCACCGCCGGCAGGGCTCACCTTTCCGGTCGGGTTTGAGGTTGCGGTTGACGGGAGGCGGCTGGATCTCGCCTGCTCTGCTGGGGCCCCGGTGTAGGGGCAGGACAGAGGCGGAGGGGTAGCCCAGCGGGTCCAGGGCGTGGGGCCCGGGGCTCATGGGGATGTAGGCGCTCTGGGCGCTGTCGGCTGCTCGCTCCATGGCCAGCAGGGTGCAGGAGCCCGGGTTCATGGGCACGTAGTTATCTTCCGAGTTGGTGCTGTCCGAGCGGCCCACGGCAGCCTTCCCCGGCTGGGAGAGGGAGGGAGGAAGGGAGCCGTCAAGGGCAGGCCTGGGTCCCCTGGGGGGGTCCAGAGCTAAAGGGCAGTGGGCCCCGGGAAAGCCAGGCAGAAGAGGCAAGCGCTGGCTGGGTCCTGCAGCTCCCAGGGTCCCTGGGGGGTCCGTTTAGCTTCCAAGATCCTGGGGTCTGGGATCTGTTTAGCTTCCAGGATTCCTGGAGTCTGGGAATCTCTTTTAGCTCCCACGGTCCCCCTGGAATCACCCATCATGCGTGACTGGGTGATTGACCCAGCCATGAGGAGGACCAAATGTCCTGGGGCCGCTGCCCAGAGTCTTGGGACGCCTGGCCCAGGCAGAGGATGCCCTGGACCCAGGCTCCTCCCCAAGCAGCCGGGGCCTCTCATGCTTGCTGGATGTTGGGCAGCCCTGCATGCCATGGGTATGGCCATGACCCCCCCCCACCATTGCTGCCCCCCTGGCCAGCACATCTGCATTTCACCTTCCCAGACCCAGCCAGGCCCCCAACCTGAGTCAGCAAGGAGGGCAGGGCCCAGCCTCCCACCACCCCCGCCCCCACCCCGGGGTGCACCCCACTCACCAGGAAGGAGCGGACGCCATCGCCCTCCCCGACGTGCTGCGGGTGCTCATACGTCTCGCAGGAAGAAGCTGTGTGCGGGGTGGGGGTGGGGGAGCATTAGGGTGCGGTTCAGTGGGGCCACATGCCCGCCCGGGGTCAGCCCCACTCACCGGCCTCGGCCCCTTTCAGGGACATGCACGCAGCGCCCTCGCAGAAACCACCTTCTTTAGGCAAACCAGGAAAGTGTCCCCTGCCCTCTCGCTGCCCCGGGATCATTCTCGCGCCCCACCCTGACCCACTCACCCGGCTATTCAAGGACTCTCGCACACAGTGACCCTTCCCTGCCTCTCCATGCTGGTGGGGTTTTGCTCCCTCAGAGCTGGGCAGACCCGGGGCCTCCCGTCAGCCAGGAAGCTACAGGCCCACGGGTGCTGATTTTTCTTGCCCGACTAGGAAAGACCTTCCTGAAGCTGAAGGCTTTATAATTCATGATTCTGATTTATCAAGGCATCTTCTTTCTCAGCTGCGGCGCCCAGCGGGGTTGCAGCCAGGAGCAGGTGGGCTGCACGGCCCCAGGGTCTGGGCTAGGTAGCCTCGGCTGGCCCGGCCTGCCTGCAGCCTCTGGGTGTGCGTGGGCCTCAGGGCACAGACCAGAGGCTCCCTGCTCCTATGCTTTCTGCACGGTAAACGGCAGTCCAGACAAAAGAGATGCAAGTTCTGGAGCAAGAGGCGGAAATGAAAGGAATTCAGTGCTGTGCATCTCCCAATCCGGGGAGGGTGGGCGGAGCGAGACCCTCAGCAGTGCCAAGGCAAATGGCCACAGGAGTTTCTGTTTTGTTTTGGGGCCACACCCAGTGATGCTCAGGGCTTACTCCTGGCTCTGCTCTCAGGAATTACTCTGAGCCATGCTCGGGGGATCCTCTGGGATGCCTGGGCTACAAGCCAGCAAAGAAGCGTGCCAGGCAGTTGTCCTACCCACTGAGCTCTCTCTCTGGCCCTGACCACAGAAGTGAAAGTGTCTGACCGGAGGTTCCCTCTTTACCCGAGTGATTCACACATGGTTTAGAAGCTCTCTGGACGATGAGACTTGGCTGTGGAGCGGATGTCCCCTGTGAATTCTGGTGTCTCACTTCACCCCCATGGACCAGCAAAAACAGCAGAACCAGAAGCAAGTGCACACACACTGCACCCCGCGCCCCTCACTTGGCTGTCCAGGCGGACTGCAGGGGGCTGCAGGGACGTTCCTGCCGCCTGGCACTGCGTCTTCAGACCAGTGATGCAAGACCCCTGGCCTGGAGCAACTAGTCCTGGAAATCTGTTTGTGAGACCTACAGCTGATTGACAGACAAGCAAGCCCCCACGTCCGGCTCTGCGCTGCGGTTCACTGGGCCTGTGTCCTTTCCCTGGAAGGGGCGCCCGCTGTCCGAGACGGGCGCACAGTGGACAAGCTCCAGGGCTGGTGGAGCCCGGGGTCAGGGGCTCACGGGGGCCTTAGGCTTTGTCCCAGTGGCAGCCGAGCACCCGGGCTGCCCAGTGCCCCGCCCGGCCCTCTCTCACACTGACCTCGGAGGAGCCGGCTGTTGTCCATGGCCGGGAGTGTGTTCCGCCTGGGGATGGTGGCCGCAGCCGAGACGGACCTGCTGCTGTCACCCAGCGGGGGTCTCTGCCGGGGGCTGCCCCACCGCGGCGTGTCCGCCTGGCTCGGCTTGGGGGGCCGGGGCGGGGGGGGCGACGGCTGCGTCTCCGGGAGCGGCCAGCGCCATGGCGTTGTGGTTCCTGTCCAGCGTGAACGTCCGCGGGATCTGGTAGGCCGAGAGCGGGGTGGCCGGGACGTCCATGTTGTCTACCAGCAGGTCCCCGAACTCGCGGCACAGGGCGTTGCTGGGCGTCTGGAAGGTGTACACGTCCTCGCTGTCCGTCTCGGAGCCCGTGAGGCTGCCCGGGGCGCGGCCGTGGCAGGCCAGGCTGCGGGGCAGGTCGTAGGCGCTGTCCCGGAGCTCGGCGTGCTGCCGGCTGGGCTTGGGGAGGCTGTAGAAGCCGTGCACCTGCCCGCCCACCCCGTTGACGCAGTGGCCGTTGCCCTGGGCCAGCTTCTGCACCGCCGTGTCGCTTCGCATGAGGAAGGAGGCCCGGGTGCCCTGGGAGAAGCTGGCGCTCCTGGGGAAGGGGAGGGAGAGGACAGGAGGGCAGGGGTCAGAGGGCGCCAGGGCACGCCCCGGTTCAGCAGCGGTCCGTTGGCTGGTTTGGGGGCCACACCTGGCAGTTGGCCAGGGGACCATCTGGGCTGCAAGGGACCAGAACCAGGTCGACCGTGTCCAAGGCAAACCAAACCCCTCCCCGCTGCGCTAGGGCCCTGGCCGCACTGGCACCTTCGGGGCTCACCCAGGCCGTGGGGCTTCAGAGGCAGTACAGGGGGCTCAGGTGCTTGCTTTGTACGTGGCCAGCCTAGGTTCAAGCCTGAGCACTGGATTTGGTCCCCTGAGCACAAAGCCAGGGGTGGTCCCTGAGCGCAGAGCCAGGCAATTGAGCCCTGAGGACTGCCAGGTGTGGGCTCTAAACCCCAAACAGACAAGCAAAGTTACAAAATGAATCATACAACTTCTCAGCACAAGCAGCTGGGGGCTGGAGATGACAGAACAGGGAAGGTGTTTGCCTTCCCTGCACAGGGCCCCCAGAGCACAGGCAGGATGACCCCTGAGCACGGAGCCAGGCGTAAGCCCCGAGCAGGGCTGGGCGCGGCCACCGAGCCAATACGGAAGGGGGGGGTCATTAGGAATCATTAGGAATCCCGCCTTGGACCCGGTCACGCTTGGGAGTTTCTGCATTGTTATAATGGACATGGCCACCAGATGGCGACAAAAAAACAGGTCCCAGCAGCTCAGACAGAAAGAAGCAGGGACGGGATGGACAGGTAGGGAGGTGACGGCCAGCCCGGCGGGGCGTGGAGCGGTGCAGGGGACAGTCATGCTCCAGTGGCCCTCCTCTGCCTTGTCCCTGCCCTTTCACGTGAGTGACAGGGGCGGGGTGGCCGAGGCCTCACTGCCCCGGTGTGTCTCGTGGCCTTCCTCTTGTCCTCCGACACCTTCAGCTCCCTGCTGGACAGTCCCCTGTGAAACTGCGTGTCCCACACACATCTGCTGACATTCGAGGGGCACGGTGGAGAGGAGGGGGTGTGCCGGGGGCCACGGCAGCCCGGGGGGGGGGCGCAGGATGTGGGGGTGGGTGGGTCCTCTTCAGTGAGTGGCAGCTGGTCAGGCAAGGAGCAAGAGAAAGGAAACGGGCTTCTAGCTGAGGACCGGGGAGCCGGGACAGGCACGGGACATGCAAGGCATGGGGTGCCCTAAGCCCACCAGGAGTGACCCCTGAGCACAGAGCCACGAGTAAGCTCAGCTCGGTGGAACAGGCCTGACGGTTCCCATCTATTGACCAACCTTGAGTTAAAGGAGAAAGGCCAATGTTAAGGTCATATAACAAGAAAAAAATTAAAACTCCAGTGTCTCAAACGATAAAGTGCAGAGTGGTAAAGGAAGAAGGACCGAGTGGGGAGTATCTGCAGTATCTTGCCGTGTCCAGCAAGAGGCCCAACCCAGACTACAGAGACTCGCCACCACACAGCAAGAACGGTAACAGCACGCTGCTGCTGTCTTCCCGATGTTCATCGATTTGCTTGAGCGGGCCCAGTAACGTCTCCATTTTTTTGAGACTTGTTGTTACTGTGTTTGGCATTCCGAATACGCCACAGGTAGCTTGCCAGGCTTTGCCGTGCGGGCGGGATACTCTCGGTAGCTTGCTGGGCTCTCTGAGAGGGGCCGGAGGAATCGAACCCGGCTCGGCCGGGCTGGCTGCGCGCAAGGCAAACGCCCTACCGCTGTGCTATCAATCCAGCACAACAGTAACTAAAAAAAATGGCAAGTGACCAAGACATTTCTTTAAAGAAGTCATAAAAATGGCCAACGAATTCGTAAGATACCACACATCTCTTAGCCATTATAAAAATGCAAACAAAAACCACGACGAGATATCATTCCATACTTCCTAAGATGGTTACTATTAAAATAACAAGTGGAGGCAGAAATAAAAGTTGGTAACTCACAGCTGCTCCTCCCAGACGGGAGTATAAAATGAAGACCCCCATAACCACACCACTGGACTCCTCGCCAGGCTGTTTTCACTCAGGGTGCCCCAGAGGGGGGCGGGCGAGAGCCCACCCCCCACTCCAAGGGACCCAGCCCTGGCAGCCGACCTCCACCACCCAACTGTTGCCATGCTCCAGGCCACTTTCATAAGACACATCATAAAAAACTTCTGACCCATTTCCCATAATTACCATACCATGTTTGATGGAGTTCAGACAGTAGGCAACAAATCATAGAGGAAAAAAAAAATATATATATATATGCCTCTTGTAGGTGGGCGTCCACGCGATCTTTTGACGTGCCGTGGAATCCAGTCAGTAATGGCTCTAGTCCAGCAGTTGTCTGGACGCCCACCTACAAGATGGTCAGACTTCTTCGTCAAGACCCTGAATGATCGGTTTGAGGCTCTGCATGTTCCTAGAACGAACAGATGCCATTGGACTACGCTAGCACGCAACCGGGATGAATGGAGACGTTACTGGCACCCGCTCGAGTAAATCGATGAATAATGGGGGATCAAGTGATCAAGTGATATATGCCTCTTGGAGAGCCCGGCACGCTACCGAGAGTATCCTGCCCACAAAGGCAGAGCCTGGCAAGCTCCCTCTGATGTATTCGATATTCCAAAACCAGTAGCTATAACAGGTCTCATTCCCCTGGCCCTGAAAGAGCCTCTAATCGTCGGGAAAGACAAGTAAGGAGAGGCTGCTAAAATCTCAGGGCTGGGAGGAATAGAGACGTTACTGGCGCCCACTCGAGTAAATCGATGAACAGTGGGATGACAGTCAGTGGTGACAGTGACAATGAGGTGGAGAAACTGGAATCTCTGTACAGTTTATAAAATTGAAAAAAAAAGCCAGTATAGAACATACTTAAAATACTGAAAACAGAATTCCCATATGGTCCACCAAGGGGAACGGGGAGTGTTTTAGTGGGTGCAGAGTTTCACCTCTGCAGGATGAAGCGGGCTCTAGAGATGGGTCGTGTATGGGTGTGAAAGAATCTGACACTGCAAAATTGTCTTCTTAGGAATGGTTAAGAGAGGGAATTTCTTGTGTGTATTTGACCACATTCTTAAAAGGAGAAAAAAAAAAAGACCTTTCAGAGGTAGAGAGGAACATTACATGCAGGAGAACAAAACATAAAAAATAACAACTGACATCACCTTGGAACAGTGAGATCCAAGATGGCAGAGTGACATCCTCTGCAAGGCCGGCCACGGGCATCGGAGAGGCTGGGCAGGTCGCATCCAGCCCGGCCAGGTACTCCGAGCACTGAGCTGGGAGTAGCCCTGAGTACCACTGGGTGCACTCCCCCAAAACCAAGCAGACCGAAAAAATGCCAACAGAAAAGATACCTATCCTGCAGCCTTTTAAACCCAGAGGGGGACCTGAAAGGTTAGTAACTTTTCCCACAGTGATTCAATAAATAAATATAAGAAGAAAAAATAATAAATAAAATTATGGAAAAAAAAAGTAAGGTGGAGTTCATGCCCAATTCAATCAGCTAATCAGTGGCTGAATAAATAGCAGTACTCCTACATAAAAAAAATAAATAAAATAAAAAATAAACCTGGGGAGGGGAAAAGGGTGAAATACAGATTTTTCCTGATAAATTTGGGAAATTTGTGGTGAGGAATTGTATGTTAAGAGACGGGGAAGAAAACTCTGGAGGGCGAAGAGGAATAAAGCCAGGTCAACGTTCCACTAGGTAATATTTAATATTTGCTTTCCATAGTGTCTGGCCCGCACAGCAAAGCCTGGCAAGCTCCCCGTGACGTATTCGATATGCCAGACACAGTAACAAGTCTCACGATGTTACTGGGCCCGCTCGAGCAAATCGATGAACAACGGGAGGACAGTGACAGTGACAGTGACTTGTCTATTTGATTTCTGGTTGTTATTTGGGGGCCATATCGGGCAGTGCCCAGGTACCTCCTTGCTCTGCTCAGGAACCACTTCTGGCGGTGCTGGGGGACGATATGGGATGCCGGGAATCAAACCTGGATTTGGCTGAGTGACAAGGCAAGGGCCCTACCTGCTGTAATAGCTCTCCAGCCCCTACTTACAAATATTAAAGATCTAAGAAAAGGAAAGAGCCAAACTATGCAGATTTTTAAGAAACGATGTCCGTTGCTCTTCCTTCATTCCCAGAGTTCTTAGTTTCTTCTGGCATTGCCTTGATTCTGTATGAAGAACACCCTGTCATATTTTTAAAGTCAGAGCTCCTGGAAAACCTCTCATTTTTCTTTCATTTCAGAATGCCTTCTTCAATTGCTTTCATTCTTAAAGTGTAATTTTGTAGGTTAAAACTGTATGGATTAATAGAAGTTTATTTATTTTGAACTCTTCCCATCAATTTCAAGAGCGTTTTCTTCTTCCACATGGAATACTGTTAAAGGAGTTCAAACATGTGCCTGATAATTTCAGCATCTGGACTATGTCTGGGATCGCATCATTACTATTCCTCGAGAACCGGGATTTTGTCAGTTTTCTGTACGCTGAGAAATTTAGGATAAGGACCAAATTGATAGTACAGCGGGGGGTAGGCATTTGCCTTAAATGTGGCCAACCCAAGTTGGATCCCCAGCATCCCATATGGTCCCCTGACCTGTCCGGGAGTGATCCCTGAGCACAGAGTCGGGGTAAGCCCTGAGCACCACAGGTGTGGCCATAAAACAAAACAAAACAAAAAATAAATTTAGGATTATGTCCCTAGTGATGAGTCGAGGGCTGTATTCTCTGAGTTCTGAATTCTCCTCATCTTCTGGAAAATATTGATGGTCTGTTGGTTTGTGCTTTTCTTTTCTTTTCTTTTTTTTTCCTTTTTGGGTCACACTCAGCAATACACAGTGGTTACTCCTGGCTCTGCACTGCATTACCCCTGGCGGAACTCAGGGGACCATACGGGATGCTGGGAATCGAACCCGGGTTGGCTGTGTGCAAGGCAAACGCCCTACCCACTATGCTACTGCTCTAGCCCCTGGTTTGTGTTTTTAGGTAACCAGTACACCTGGTTCTACCCAGCCTGCAAAGTCTGCCTCTCCTTTGGATTGTGGAATTGCAAGTCTCAGTCCAGTGCACAGTATGTCGGGTTCAGCCCTTCCTTAGCTCTCTCACGCGGGGCTCCCCTTCCCAGCACCCTGGGGTCCTTCCCTGGCGTCTCTCTGGAAGGGGAGGCTTTCTCTCCAAGCCGGAGCCATCTGCGCCCCTGTGTGGCTTTGTGTGGCCTCACCAGGACGCACCCCTGAGTGACAGAGGCTTCAGCGGGGTGTAATCACGTCTCCAACATCCCTCCCACCTCCATAACCTGTCCTGCCTTCCAATTGCTTTTTAGTGCCTTGCAGCAGTTGCTTTGCCATGTTCTGCCCAGACTGGGTATTTGTAGAACCAAGTATTTCATAACATAAATGGCCTCATCAAAGTCACTCCACTAAGCAACCAGAAATCACGGAGAAAAGCTTCCATGACCCAAGCTTGGAGAATTCAGAGAACTCATTACTGCTAGAAAGTTCTGAACTCAAGAAAATTTCCTGGCCACCCTGTCCCTCCCTTGGAATTCTGGTGGTGGTGGTGGAGGTGGGGGGGTGTGGGAGCCATTTAGGGAACTTCGTTGTCCCAGAGTTCTCTGAGATCCTGCTCACCGCCTGGATTCCTGAACCTACAACCCGTGAAAACCAAGACGAAGAACACAGTCTGATCAGCATCTCACAGCGGAGCTGCTTCCCCAGATGGTACTTTGTTTTTCCAAATTAAATTTACAAACTGCAGAGCCGGAAGAGATCCACAGGGGATAGGGCACTGGTGTCTAGCACGTGGCTGACCTGGGCTTGATCCCCGGCAGCATTGCTCCTGAGCCCCACTAAACAAAAAAAAAAAAAGCAAAAAAAAAAAACACCCCAAAAAATTGGATAGAAAAAGAAATCTTTGTAGCATGATATTTTAATAACTGAAGGGCGTTTATGGAATTATCAATGGTATTTATAAAATGTGAAAAATCATCTAACCAGAAAAAGAAATGCTATGTTTTGGCTGGGAAGCAGATCCAGTGGTAAAACACAAGCCGTGCGTGCATGAGGCCCTGGGTTCCATCCCCAGCTCCCAGAGCACTGAGCCAGGAGTTCATTTCATGCCTGAGCACTGTTCCACGAGCCTACTGCAGACCTGAGCACTGTGCCATGATCCTCTCGCAGGCCTGAGCACTGAGACGGCAGCCTTGCGCACCAGGAGGCCTCGGCTCTCAGCCGCAGGGTGAGGCATTGCCTGGTGTGGCCCTGGACCCGCACCCCGGCACACCTCGTGTTCCCCAGCCCTCCCGTGGCCCTACCTGGCGCTCTCGGCCCTCCGGCTGATGCACTGGTGCAGGTAGAGGTACTCCTGGGGCGCGCTGGTGGACAGGGCGGGCTGGGCGAGGCCGGGCCCCGGCGGCTCGAAGGTGAACAGGGTGGGCTGGCTGGAGTGTGTGGGTGCCGAGACCTTCCGCTCCCGCAGCAGGGGCTGGGCGGGGCCACTGAGCTCGGCTGGGGACGAGCGTGGCCCGTGCGCAGCGGCTGGGAAGTTCCGCAGCGAGTCTGCAGAGGAGAGGAGAGGAGAGGAGAGGGGGGTGAGCACTTCAGCCCTGCTCAGGGGGTCCCGCCACGCCCCGCCCCGCAGGGGCCTCTCTCTCGCCTTCCCCCCCTGTCTGGAGACCACCTGAGCACATGCTCCACCCCCCACGCACGCTGCCTTTGCTTGGCAGGCCGTCCTCGGCAGGCTACCCACGTGGTCCTCCAGGTGATGTATGGTTCTTGCATGGAGGATCTGACCTGAGCACTGTGCCACGAGCCTGGTGCAGGCCTGAGCACTGTGCCGTGAGCTTATCACAGGCCTGAGCACTTTGCCGCGAGCCTGGTGCAGGCCTGAGCCTTTAACAGAGTCAGCAATTCCACCCCTGGGCATTAATCCCAAGGGTCTTAAAAACTCAATTCAGAAAAGACGCCTCCACTCACTGAAGTACTGTTCACAAGAGCCCCGCTCTGGGAACAACCGGGAGCAGATGCCTGGGAAGGAACACGATGGGGCGTCTACACAGGAGTGTGGGGAGGGATATGGGGTGTCGACACGGTGGGGTGTGGGGGGGGAATATGGGGCGTCTGCACAGCAGGGAGGGTGTCTGCCTCCCTCACACAGGTCAAATGCAGGTTGGATCCCGGCATTCCATAGGGTCCCCCAAGCGCTGTCAGGAGTGAGTCCCTGAGCATTGCCGGGCGTGGCCCCAAATAACAAAAAAGAAATTGAAACAATATTTTTTTTTTTTTGCTTTTTGGGTCACACCCGGTGATGCTCAGGGGTTACTCCTGGCTCATGCACTCAGGAATCACTCCTGGCAGTGCTCGGGGGACCATATGGGATGCTGGGAATCGAACCCGGGTTGGCCATGTAGGCTGCGTGCAAGGCAAACGCCCTACCCGCTGTGCTATCGCTCCAGCCCTGAAACAATTTTTAAAAGGGATGAAACTTTATTTATTTATTTATTTATTTGCTTTTTGGGTCACACCCGGCGATGCTCAGGGGTTACTCCTGGCTCTGCACTCAGGAGTTACTCCTGGCAGTGCTCAGGGGACCATATGGGATGCTGGGACTCGAACCCGGGTCGGCCACGTGCAAGGCAAATGCCCTACCGGCTATACTATCACTCCAGTCCCAAGGAATGAAACTTCTTGTTCAACAGGAATGAAGGGTGCTGCCCTCAGCCATCCTGGCACCCCACCTGCACCTCTTGGACCCGTGGCTCGCTCGTCCAGAGTGGCACCGTCCCTGGGGCCTTTCTGGAGCAGGCAGTGGAGGGAGCTCTCTCATCCCTCCAGCCGGGCCCCGCAGCCTCGGCACCCTTTGCCTCTTCCGGACTGCGCGGCCACAAACGGCTCCACTCCTCACTCCTCACTGGGAAGGCGCACCCTCCCACGGCAAGCACAGCGGGGAGGACGGGGAGAATCCCTCTGAGCCCCCTGACTGAAAGTAAAGGCATGGGAGGCTCCGCCAGCTCTCTCGGGACGGCGTCAGAGATGCCACGGAGCAAAGGAACAGTGGCACAGGCAGTCAGTGAAGCACAAGAAAGCATCAGAACTATGAGAAAACCGCAGTCAGAAGGGACAGAGATGAAGGGTGCAGTCGGTGGGGTAGGCTAGAGGGTACAGAGGGGGCAGGAGAGACCGTGCAGCGGGCAGGGCGTTTGCCTTGCGTGGGGCCAACCTAGGTTCAATTCCCAGCATCCCATATGGTCCCCACGAGCACTACCTTAGGAGGCATTCCTCAGCATAGGGCCCCAGGAGTAAGCCCTGAGCATCGCTGGCGGTGGCCCCCAAAACAAAACAAAAAACTCAACAGAAGGGCCGGAGAGATCGTACAAAGGGTAGGATGCTTGCCTGGCACACAGTGGACACCAGGTTCATTCATGGTGCCACATGTGGTCCCCAGAGCACTGCCAGGACTGATCTCTGAGCACAGAGCCAGGAGTAAGCCCTGAGCACTGCCCGGTGTGGACTCAAGACACAAACAAAAAACAAAAAGTCAGTAGCAGGTCTGAGCAACAGAATAATGGCAGCAGAGAAAAAGGCAAGAGGAGAAGCAAGAGGCCCCTAGAAAAATAATGAGCACAGCAGAGAGCTGTGGCATGAGTCCAGAGAAGTGGTAACAGAATCGTTGGACCCCTGAAGAAGAGGAAGGCAAGTTCGATGAAGAACAGCTAAATAAATCACAGATAAGAATTTCCCGGAGCTTAGGAGTGGAGCATCAGGATCCGAATGAAAAGATCCAATGTAGAGACCTCAGAGAAATAAAAAACTCTGAGACAGGAGCTGGAGAGACAGCACAGCGGGTAGGGCGTTTGCCTTGCACGCAGCCTACATGGCCAACCCGGGTTCGATTCCCAGCATCCCATATGGTCCCCTGAGCACCGCCAGGAGTAACTCCTGAGTGCAGAGCCAGGAGTAACCCCTGTGCACCTCCGGGTGTGACCCAAAAAGAAAAACAAACAAACAAAAACTCCGAGACAGATTCTAATCAGAGTAAGAGACACCAAAGACAGAGACAGAATATTGAAAACAACAAGATCAAAAATGGACGTTATATACAAAAGCAAGCCCAGGAGATTCACACAGACTGATCCAGTGAGACTTGATGAGTGAGGAGAGTGTTGGGACAGAGTAAAGAAACTCAGTGAAATGAACGCCTCGCCAGGAACCCTGTGCCCACGAAGGGATGATATGGAGCTTCACGGAGAGGCCGCAGTTTAGGGAGCTCCTACTCTTGAAACTCGGAGAGCCCGGCAAGCTACCGAGAGTATTCGATATGCCAGACACAGTAACAACAAGGTCTCCAATGGAGACGTTACTGGGCCTGCTCGAGCAAATCGACGATCAACGGGAGGGCCTTTACCTTTTACCTTTACCTTACTCTTGAAAACAGTTTTGCAAGACGTGTTAAAGGAGCTTCTTTGAAAAAATCAGAAATTCCCAGCCCTTTGCATTTGAATATGGCATTCAATCATGGTGCTTGTGGTTGTCTTTCTATAAGATTAAGAAATATCTATTTACTCCTAGCTTGCTAAGGGATCTTATCATTTTTCTTTGATTTTCGTTTTTGGGTCACACCTGCCAATGCTCAGGGCTTACTCCTGGCTTTGCACTCAGGAATCACTCCTGGCAGTGCTCAGGGGAAAATATGGGATCAAACCTGGGTTGGCCACATGGGAAGCAAGCTCCGTACCCACTATACTATTGTTTTGACCTCGTGGGATTTCATACTTTTCCAATTATATACAGAATTCATTTACATATTGATATATATTCAATCACTGTTCAATCACCGTCTTCCTGTTCATCGATTTGCTCGAGCGGGCCCAGTAACGTCTCCATTGGAGACTTTGTTGTTACTGTGTTTGGCATATCAAATACGTCACGGGTAGCTTGCCAGATATATATAATATCCAGGTGGTTATTTTTACATCTGTAGAGATTTTTATCTCAATCTTTTACTTATCAATGCGGATACTTAAACATTATCTATAATTTTCTAACATAAAGTCAGTAATCCCTTTTTAGGATAAAACGCACTTTTATACCTTACAGGCCTCTGCATAGTTTCCTTTAAAATGTTCTTAATTCATCTTTCTCTTTTACTAAACCACATATTTGTAGGCTTTATCTGTCACTGTCATTATCCTCCCATTGTTCATCGATTTGCTCGAGTGGGCCTAGTAATGTCTCCATTGTGACACTTGTTACTGTGTTTGGCATATGGAATACATCACGGGTAGCTTGCCAGCCTTTGCCGTGCGGGCGAGATACTCTCGGTAGCTTGCCGGGCTCTCTGAGAGGGGCGGAGGAATCGAACCTGGGTCGGCCAGGTCCAGCTGCGTGCAAGGCAAACGCCCTACCCGCTGTGCTACCAATCCATTTATCTATTTCATGTTAATTCTAGAATGTGTTCGGATAGAATTACTCGTACTATTAAGTTGTGACGCTTATACACCTGTAAAAAGAGAAGAATACAGAGGTGTCGAGAGCAGAGGAAACTGAGGTTTCTGGCTCCTGGGTAGCAGGCTGGAGGCCCGAGCACAGGTGATGCCTCATGCCCCGGGCTCGCCTCTGGCACTGGGGGCTGCTGGGGGCTGGAGCACCCCTGCGTGCTCCGGGTGTGGTCTAAAAACCAGGGGAGTTGGAACATTGTGTGTGTGAGGCGTTATGTAAATGAAATACTGCAGCTGACGGAGCGTCTAAATACAAAGTGAAAGGAGGGGGTCAGAGAGAGAGAGTACAGCGGAGAGGGCGTCTGCCTTGAACGTGGCCAGCCCAGATCAATCCCCGGCATCCCACAGGGTCCCCTGAGCACCGCCAGGAGTAATTCCTGAGTGCAGAGCCAGCTGCAGAGCCAGGAGTAAGCCCTGAGCTCCACCAGATGTGGCCTAAATAAATAGATAAATGGAAAAGCTTAAACACTTTTAAGCCAGACTTTTTTAAGCCAGACTTAAACACTTGCACCAGAGTGAAGACACAGCAGGGAAGGTGCTTCCCTTGCATGCCGCCGACCTGGGTTCCATCCCCGGCATCCCACATGGTCCCCTAAGCACTGCCAGGAATGAGTCCTGAATGCAGAGCGAGGATTGGCGGTCCGGTGAGGCCCAAAAAATCAAAAGAGAAGAAAAAGAAGGAAAAGTTTCAAAGACGTGCTTCTGGCAATGCCCACGAGAGGGCGATGTTTCAGTGGCGGTGCCAGTCCCCTTGAGAGGACAGAGCTGGGTGTCTCCCTGCTGTGTGACCTAATTCAGACTGTCCCCTTCTCCTGGCCCCAGGCAGGGGCACCGGCTTCTGCTGCAGCAGTAATTACTCTCCAGTCTGTCCTGATGCCAGGCAGGGCGGGCTCCGCCCCTGACAAGCCTCGTCCACCGCTGGGGTGAGCCTCCCCGCCCCCCCCCAGCCCCCCGCAGGCCTGGGTGGGAGCTGGGCATCTGCTCACAGAATCGATGTCTTCCAGACTCCCTGCTCTGCAAGAGGAAGCAGCGGGGTCTGGGCTCAGGCCAGGCAGAGGGGTC